GGCACGACGGCCGGCTGCATCGCCGCGTCGCCCGAGACCCGCAAGACCGCGCCCGTGCGCACGTACTGCAGCACGTCCGGCGGGAACACGTCCGAGAACGCGTGCGCCATCTGGTCCGCCGGGGTCGCGTAGCCCTCGTCGCCGCTCCGGCACGGCAGCCGGTAGAACATGCACTTCTTGCCCGTCCCGGGGCACTTGCCGTGGGGGTAGGCCTGGCCGACGTCGATGCCGTACTTCTTGAGCACCGCCGGGAACCGCTTCGCGTCGACGGCCTTGGCGTCGACGTCGAAGTAGGCCTGCGCCACGGCGTCGCTGGGCCAGCCCATGAATCTAGATAGCGACGGGAACTGCTGGAAGCCGTCCACCGACGCGATGTCGTCGCCCGGGAACGGGATGAACCAGATCCCTGGGCGGCGGCCGACGAGTCGACGTAGTCCTTCGACGACACCGTTCGGCCTGCGAGCGTCGACGAATTCGAGTGCGGCACCCCCGAGGTTGGGCACCACGCCGTGGCGCATGTATCGGACGACGGGAAAACGAGGGAGGTGTCGCTTTTGGCGGTCGTGGCCGCGCAGGAGGCCAGCGGCGAACCCTCCCGCCCCCGGGCGACGACGCCGCTCGCGGCCGCGCGCGCGCCCCCGACGCGTTCGCGCGACGAAAAGTCGCGAGACGCTGCGCTAGTACGATGGCTTGGGCCCGAGCAGCTCGGGGTCCATCTCCATAAGGCTGGGGTCCATGCCCAGCCTCGACTGCGCGTGACGGCGGCTGTGGCGATTGCGATTGGTCCAGGCCAGCGACCGTGCTCCCGACGTGACGGCAATGGACTCTTTCTCTAAATTTTGCCACTTTCCTTCGACGCAAGCGTAGCAGATGCATCGCCGGGGTAAAAAAACGAAACACGACGCAGGATCGCAAGCCCTCGCGTCCGACGGAGGACGAGTACCGTCGAACATCGAGCGACCCATCGCGCGCGCGGACGACCGATCGCGGCGAGGTGAACCGTTGGTGAAGCGCACGAATTCGGGGGGGCTGCCCTTCTGGTGGTGGGCGGGCACGATGCGCGAGGAGTGCAAGAGCCCGACGCCCGGCTGGACGCTGTCGCCGGCGCGCAAGGCGCCCGACGACGAGGTCGGGCGCCTGCGGGACGAGCTCGCCGCGTCGCGGCGCGAGATGCGCGACGAGGTCGAGCGCCTGACCCTCGAGCTCGTCGAGTGCCGCATGGGCCTCGCGACGGCGGAGTACGACAAGGAGCAGGCGCGGGCGTCGGCGCGGCGCGCGGAGCGCGAGGCCGAGGAGCTCCGGGAGGCCGCGGCCGCCGCCGCGGCGGCGAAGGCGGACCTCGCGGAGGCCGCCGCGGACCTCGAGCGCGTGACCTCCGAGCTCGTCGCCGCGCGGCTCGAGCTCGCGACGCGCGAGTTCGACCACGAGGCCCGGCTCGCGGCGGCGCGCGAGTCCCACGCCGCGGCGCTCGAGGCCGGCGCGGCGGCCCTCGCGGACGCGCAGGCGAAAGTCGCGGAGCTGAGCCTGCCGGCGTCCCCCGCTCCCTCGGCGTCGCCCGCGTCCGGCCGGACGTTCCTCGGCCGCCTGCGCTTCGCGTCGACGGCCTCGGCGGCCGCGGCGCCGGCGCCGCGCGCCGGGGCGCCGGCGCTGTCGCTCCGCGAGCTCATCGCGCGCGTGCCGCTCTTCGCGTCGCTCACGGCGCCGGAGCGCGACGCGCTCGCGGAGAGCTGCCTGCCGGCGAGTTTCGGCCGGGGCGAGGTCATCAGCCGCACGGGCGAGTTCGCGGACCACATGTCCCTCATCGCGTCGGGCGCGGTCCGCGTCTGCGTCCGCGAGGCCGAGGTCGCGGCGCTCGAGGCGGGCTCCTACTTCGGCGAGGACAGTCTCATGAACGACGCGCCGCGCGCGGCGACGGTCGTCGCCGCCTGCGACGTCGCGACCTACTGCGTGCCGCGCCGCGCGGTCCGCGACGTGCTCGCGAGCTACGCGGCCGCGGCGCCGGAGCGCCGCGCGGCGTCCTGGGCGGCCTACGAGTCCTACGAGTCGGGCCTGCTGCGGAAGCTCGCGGCAGACGTCGCGACGGCGCGGACCCAGGCCGAGTACATGGCCATGCTCGCGCGGCACCGGTCGTCGGTGCAGATCATCCCCCTCGAGCCGACGGCGAAGTTGTTGAACACGTCGCGCGACTTCTCGCGCGCGCAGTTTTTGAAGGACCTCCGGCGCGAGTCGGCCGTCGTCCTCGACGGCGCGTCCTACCCGACGGCGTCGTCGGTCCACTTCGACCGCTTCCTCGACGCGCTCCGCGGCATCGCCGAGGCCGCGGCCGCGGCGCCGCGGCGCGCGGAGGCGCTCCGCCTGCCGCCGTCGCTCGTCGGCTTCCTGCCGCTGCTCTTCGCCGCGGACGCGGACGCGCCGCGGTCGCCGGACGGTTCGCGCGGCGGCGCGCGGCCCGCGGAGGCCGCCGTCGACGACGTCTTCCTCCAGCTGCTCATGGCCGCGTCGCGGACGACGTCGGGCGGCGACTCCTTCGCGCGGTGCCACGAGCTCTTCGGCAACTCGGACGTCGTCGTGTTGTCGCCCGTGCCCGAGCTCACGGGCGCGACGCGCGTCCGGGCCGTCCGGCCGGGCCTCGTCGTCGTGACGTCGGCGAACGTCTACCGCATCCAGCACCTCGCGCAGGACCCGGCGCGCCGGCGCCTGGGGACGGGCTACACGACGTGGTGCCTCCTCTCCACGTCCGTCGTCGAGGTCCTCGACTTCCGCCGCGGCGACGGCGACGACGACGACGCGGGCGGCACGCGGCACCTGTCCGTCAGCTTCTTCCCGCCGGGAGCCGAGGACGCGCTCCGCGCGGGCGCGTCCTAGTGTTCGCTGATGATCTTGTGGTCATCCTGGAGGCCTTCCTGGGTGGTTGTGCTGCTGTGTGGGGCGTGTGTGGGGGGACGTCCGTATTTTCGTCTTGTGGCAATTCGGGGTTGCCTTGCTCGGTTCACGATCCACACCCGCCCGTCAGAGCCACCGCACAGCTTTCAAGCAGAACCATGGTACTACACTTCGCGCAGGCCGTCGGCCGGCGGCCCCTGAGCGCGTCGGCGACGCGCAACAATGCAAGCACGATGGCGCGGAGCGTCGCGAAGGCCGTGCGCGCCCTGAGCACCACGGCCAAGCCGTCGCCGAAGGCCGTGCGCGCCCTGAGCACGACGGCGAAGCCGTCGCCGCCGTCCATGACGCCGCCCGTGTCGCTGCTCGTGGAGAAGCCGAGCATCGCCCAGTTCAACCCGCCGAAGCGGCTCCTCATGGGCCCCGGCCCCGGCAACGCGCACCCGCGCGTCCACGCGGCCATGTCGCTGCCGCAGGTGGGCCACATGGACGGCGCGTTCCTCGCGGCCGCCGAGGAAATCAAGACGCTGCTTCGCTACGCGTGGCAGACGAAGAACGCGTTCACGGTGCCGTGCAGCGGCACGGGCTCCGCGGCGTGGGAGGCGGCCGTCGCGAACCTGACGTCGCCGGGCGACACGCACCTCGTGCTCGTCAACGGCTACTTCGGCCTGCGCCACTGCGACATGGCGAGCCGCTACGGCGCGAACATCGTCAAGCTGGAGAAGCCCTGGGGCGAGGTCTTCTCCGACGACGAGGTCGCGGCGGCGTTGGCGGAGCACAAGCCGGACACGCTCTGGGTCGCCCACGCGGAGACGTCGACGGGCGCGTGCCAGCCCATGGCGAATTTGGGCGAAATGTGCCGCGACCACGACTGCCTCCTCATGGCCGACACGGTCACGTCCATCGGCGGGCTGCCCGTGAAGCTCGACGAGTGGGGCGTCGACGCGTGCTACGCGGGCGGCCAGAAGGCGCTGAGCTGCCCGCCGGGCATCGCGCCGCTGACCTTCGGGGACCGCGCGCTGCGGAAGATGGACGAGCGCCAGGCGCGGGGCGAGGTCACGGCGAACTGGTACCTCGACATGAACATGATCAAGCAGTACCTCGTCGTCAACGACTTCGGCGTGCCCCGCGTCTACCACCACACGGCGCCCATCTCCATGGCCTACGCGCTCCGCGAGGCGCTGACGATCCTCGCGGAGGAGGGGCTCGAGGCGTCGTGGGCGCGGCACCGCGCGTCGGCCGAGTTCTTCTGGGACGAGCTCGAGAAGATCGGCCTCGAGTGCCACGTGCCCTGGGAGCACCGGCTCCCGACGCTCACGACGGTCAAGATCCCCGAGGGCGTCGACGGCGGCAAGGTCGTCACCTTCCTCCGCGAGAACTACAACATCGAGATCGCCGGCGGGCTGGGCCAGCTCGCGGGCAAGGTCTGGCGCATCGGCCTCATGGGCTACAACTCGCGCAAGGAGAACGCGGCGCTCGTCTGCGCGGCGCTCCGCGACGCCCTCGACGCCCAGGGCTACTACCGCGCGCCGGGCCTCCTCTACAAGACGCGCGCGCACTTGCGGACCTCCTTCCACGGGAGCGCGTGATCGCGTTGCGGCGGCGGCGCTGACGCGCCGCGCCCGGACGACGCCCTCCCCGGCCGACCGCGTCGGTCCTCCCCTCTCTGCATATATAAGAAGCTTCGATCGCGGCGACACGTGCGACGAGCCGCGACGTCGACAGTGGCAGCAGTGTGAATGCACATCGGCTTCGAAGCAGCTCCGCCGCCGGCCTAAGCAAGCCACTTTCACGGAACTTACTAGTACGAGAACAGACATGCCACGGTGGCGTCGGATGGGCGAGGGCGAGGAGGCGCGGCTCGTTCGCGCCTCCTATTGCTTGGCGAGGACGGCGTCGAGGGCGATCTCGAAGTTGGAGACCGTGCGGTCGACGTTCATGAGCTTGTCGAGGCCGAAGAGGCCGATGCGGAAGGAGTTGTAGTTGTCGGGCTCGCCGAGGACGAGGGGCACGCCCGCGGCGATCTGGAGGTTCACGTTCTTGAAGCGGCCCGCGTAGGTCGGGTCGTCGTTGGCGTAGACCACGGCGACGCCCGGCGCCTCGACGCCCTCGGCGGCGACGGACGTGAAGCCGCGCGCCTTGAGCGCGTCGCGGACGCCGAAGCCCAGCTTCCACGCGGCGGCCTCGCAGGCCGCGAGCCCGTGGCGCTCCGTCTCCTTGACGACGTCGCGGAACATGCGGATGGCGTCCGTGGGCATGGTCGCGTGGTACATGTGGCCGCCGTCGAGGTACGCGCCCATGACCATGCGCCACTTGTGGAGGTCGATGGAGAACGACGACACGGGCGCGGCCTCGGCGTGCGCCGCGGCCGCGTCGGAGAGCATGCAGACGCCGACGCAGGCGGGCCCCGTCCAGCCCTTCTGGGGCGCCGTGATGTAGGCGCCGACGCCCAGGTCCTTCATGTCGACCCACGCGGTGCCGCTCGCGACGCCGTCGAGGCAGAACGTCGCGCCGACCTCCGCGCACGCGTCGCCGATGGCCCGCATGTAGGCCTCGGGCAGGATGATGCCCGCGGACGTCTCGACGTGGGGCGCGCAGACCATGGACGGCCGCTTCGCGCGGATCGTCGCGACGACGTCCTCGACGGGCGGCGGCGACACGCCCCGGTCCTCCCCCGCGGCCCAGCCCTCGGCGGGCGCGGCCTTGAGCACCGTGACCTGGTCGTCGGGCTTGCCCATGCTCTGGAAGAGCTGGGTCCAGCGGTAGCTGAAGTAGCCGTTGCGCACGACGACGACGTTGCCGACGCCGAACGCGCGCGCGGCCGCCTCCATCGCGTACGTGCCGCTGCCGGGGAGCAGCACGGCGTGGTCCGCGTTGTAGGCCGCCGTCAGCGACGCGTGGAGGTCCGTCATGACTTGCTGGAAGGGCTCCGACATGTGGTTCAGCGCCCGGTCCGTGTAGACGACGCTGTACCTGCGCGGCGGGCGCCCGGTCGGCGCGCGCGCGCGGCGATCGCGCGAAGCCGTCTCGGTTTCGACGTTGGGTCGTGCGAGGCGCCGCCCGTCGAGAACGCGCGGCCGCGCGTCGTTTCCACGCGGCCGCGCACTCCATGAGCCCGCCGTTCTCCTGGATGAGCTCGTCCTCGACGACGTGCGTGTCGTAGGGCGTCGCGGCGACGGCCGTCGACATGCGGCCGCGGCGCGCCGCGGAGCCCGTCGACATGCGGCCGCGGCGCGCCGCGGAGCGCGCGAGGCGCGTCGACAGACGGAGCATGATCGAAAGCGCGTGCGGCAGGCGCGCAAGAATCGCCTCGCAGAATCGGTCGCCTCTTGGCTCTCGCGTCGACCTGTGGATGTTTGGACTTCTCCAGCAACGGACGACGATGCTGCTCGGCCGAAGCTATGGTGCGCTAGTGGGGCGTGCTGCTAGCAAACGTGGCGGCGACCACCGCTGCGCCGCCACGGGCATTCCTAGCCGCCACCACCGCCCGAATTTCTCGCAAAACTATGCCAGCCACCCGGCAGGGGCAGCCCCGCCCCGACGACGGTTTGTGACCGCACCTGATGCAGATCGTGCACGACTTCTTGACGAGAAACTGAGGCCTAAACAGGCGGCCCGGCGAAGCTACACGGACGACACGAAGCTGGGTCTCATGGGCTTGAGCGCCGACGCGCCGAAGCGAGACGTCGAGAAACGCTTCCGCGAGCTCGCGCTCGAGCACCATCCCGACAAATTCGCGGCCGCGCCGCGGCGCGAGCGCGAACGAGCCCAGAAGCTCTTCCAGCGGCTCCAGCGGGAGCGCGAGGACCGGCTCGAGGGCCGGCCGCCGTCCTTCGCCACGCCCGAGGACGAGGAGCTCCAGCTGTGGGCCGTCGCGCGGCTCGTCGCGCTGAAGCTCGCGACGATCGTCGGCCCGCTCGCGGGCCTCGCGGCCTACATGTCCCTGAAATAAGGCGCGTCACCCCACCTCGGCGCCCCGGACGGACGCCTGGTAGAGCTCGGCCTTCTGGCGCTTCTGCAGCAGGGCGCCGTGGCCCTTGGGCTTCGCGCGGACCTCGGCCTTGTTGGGCTCGTCGAAGAGGTCGAACCACGCGTGGAGCGCGTGGTACTCGTCGCGCTTCATGAGGCTCGCCATCTGCAGGTCGGCCTCGACCTGGAACGCGTAGCGGTCCGCGTCCCTGAGCCGCGCGTTCTTCGGCCGGCGGCCGAAGTAGCGCTGCATGTGGGGCCAGAGCGTCGGGAAGAGGGGCCGCGCGGACGGGCGGAAGAAGAGGTGCTCGACGTAGCGCTTCTCCGCCTCCTTGAGGGGTTTGTGGCTCGGCGACCCGCCCTTGGCCTTGCCGCGCGCGTACGCGAGCGCGTCCGCGAGCATGGCCCGGTCCACGCCGCCCAGGAAATCGCCGAGCGCGTCGGCCGCGGAGACGTTGTGGCCGCTGACGAGCTCCTCGTAGTGGACGACGAGGAACTGGGACGGGTCGAGGCCCCGGAGGTGCGTGTCCAGCAGCCCCAAGTTGAGCCACAAATTGAACGCGGTGCTCTTGAAGGTGCCCTCGGAGTGGTGGCGCCGGAAGTGGGACGACACGCAGGTCGCCAGCGGCTCGCGCACGGTCACGACGACCTGGGGCGCGTAGCCCGCGCCGCGCGCGCCCGCGACGTAGCGCGGCAGGTCCGCCGACGTGTGCTGGAGGTCGTCCCCGCCCCCCGGCGACCCGCAGGGGTAGCTGCAGCCGGGCACGTAAAGCGAGCTCCGCCAGGGCGCCATGTTGCCCCGGGCCGCGAGCTTCGCGCGCTCCAGGAGGCACGACGCGCCGTCGAAGTCCGCGCTCGACCGGCAGCCCGCTTCCGCAAAGTTGCACCGCGCGTGCGCCTTCGCCGTCGACAGCGACAGCCAGCACCTACGGATCGACGATTGGAATACTATCCGCGCGACGCAAGACGCACAGCTGGAGGTCGTTGTAGGCCTCGTTGGCGAAGTTGGGCAGCAGCTCCGTCGGCTCCGAGAGGTACCTCAGCCGGTGGCCGACGAAGTCGAAGAAGTGGTGGCCCGTGCCCTCGATGCCTGCGGCGCGGCGTCGAGGCGGGTGTGCAGGGAGACCACGTACCGGCGACGAGCCAGAAGGGGATGCGCGTGCGCTGGTCGCGGCGGCCGGCGAGGTTCGCGAGGTCCGAGGCGATGTAGCCGTCGCGCGCCAGCGACGGATTCATCTCCGGCGGCCGGTAGACGGCCGCGGGCGGCTTGCGCTTCTTCTTCGACTTCTTCCTTGCCGCCGTTGCGACGAGCAGGCACCAGGCTGCGAGTAGAGGGCGCATCGTCGCATCGGGGGCAGCGTGGTTGGACTAGTTATTGAAGGGATCTTGAAGGCGTGTTAGCGCGGGTCCGCCTCGAGCGCAGCGCGCGCCGCGCGGCTCGCGTCGTCGTCGCGCCGCGCGCGCCGTCGTTGTTGGACCTGCGGACCGCATCCCTGTGCGCGCGCCAAGCCGCGCAGAGCGCGCGTCTGCGAGCCGCGCCGCGATGTACCCTCCGGAAATTCTTGATGCCATCAGAGCTGGCGACATAGAGGTCGTGCGACGCTGGTTGGAGGAGGCTCCGCGGGACCTTAGCGAACTTGTAGAAGGCAGAAGTGCCACAGGGTATACGCCGCTCATTAGTTTCGCGTTTTTTTCCATATGTTATGGACACTATGGTGGCGACCGTAGCGACCTGCTCCAGCTACTGATTGCCCACGGGGCCGATGTTCGCGGAACCGACTTCCATGGTTTCGGGGCCCTCCACCGTTGTGAGTATCCCGGCGAGGCGGCGATACTCCTCAAACACGGCGCAGACATCGACAAGCTCAGTAGAGTGAGAATCACGCCGCTCATGCTGGCCGCAAGAAACGATCATTTTGAAGTGACTCGTCTCCTTTTGCGCAGCGGAGCTAGCATGTTCATGGTGGACGCTCATGGAAATGATGCCGCGTCCCATTGCTTAAATGGCTTGGAGTTCGAAGACAATCCGTCTCGAGAATTGATCCGCGCCGTGAAACGCGCCGGCGGCTGGAAGCCGTACGTTCGCGCGCCGCGAATCGAACTCGTGCGCCTCCGATCGCTCTGTGCTCGCGGTCGCGCGACGCCTCCTCGATCTGATCCCGTCCTCCAGCGCCTCTTCAGCGCGCCGAGCTCATCGAAGAAGGCCACGCGAGCCTCGAAACGCGCGAACCGCCGCCCGCTCCCGAACGAGGTCCTCTGGCACATCCTCGGCTACTGGCGCTCGAGCCGGGAGGTAGGGGCGTGAGGTCCTAAAAGCATCCCTAAAAAGAAGCTACGCCCCGTCCAGATGCACGACCGTCGCGTTGGGGAAGCGCCGCTCGATGCCGTCCATGTGGGCGATGCCGACGACGCCGACGACGGAGCCGTGCGCCTTCGCCGCGGCCTGGAGCTCGTCGGCCATGTGGGCGTCGCGCGCGTGCAGCAGCGCGTTGGCCACGTCCGGCGCGTGGCGGTCGAGGACGGCGCCGAGCCGCCGCGCGGACTCGCGGTTCAGCACGCCGCCGACGGCGCCCTCGAGGCCGCCGTCGGCGAGCGCGCCGGCGCCGATGGACGCGACGACGCGCGCGACGTCCGCGTCCGTGCTCAGCTTCATGGCGAGCGCCGCCGCGTCCGCGGGCGACGCGACGAGCTTTTGCGCGGCCGCGCGGACGCGCCGCTCCGTCGTCGCGCCGTCGACGTCGCCGTGGACGATGCGCGCGTCGACGCGCTCGCCGGCCTCGAGCGCCGCGAGCATGTCGCCGCCCTGCTCGCCGAGCACGCCCGCGACGCGGTTGAAGACGCCGAGCGCGAGCTCCGCGGCGCGCCGGTCGAGCCCGAAGCGCTCGAGCATCATCCGCAGCGTCGCGGAGTCGCCGCCGCCGCCTCGCCCGCCGCCGCGGCGCAGCGACGCCGCGCGGCCGCGGCACAGCTCGACCATGACGGCTTTAGGCTGGACCTTGTCGATGATGTCGACGACTTCTTCCCTGGATTTTTTACCGATGTGCGCGGTTCCGACGAGGTAGATGTCGCCGTCGACGTCGCGGATGTAGGCCGTGGGAAAGTGTCGTCGCTGATGCTGCGTCGCGGCGCGCGCGCGCACGAGGCACCGGCGCAGCAGCATTAGAAGCCGGATGTAGGCGCGGGAACGAGGTCGAGGTCCGCTTCGTGCAACTCGGCCTCCTGTGGTTCCAGGCCTTGCGACGGTGGCGGCGACGGCGGCTCGACCGCGTCACTCCTCAACTCCGCGAACGCGCTTGCCTACTCAAGTAGGAGGCCATCACCCTCTTCCAAAAAGTTCATGCAAACGAGTTGAACCTGGCTAAGGCGGGGTTTGCTCCGGCGACGGCGTCCGATGGCCGACGCGCCCCCGTCTAAACTGCGCGTTTTTGGCTAGCGGCCAGGGACGCCCGGTGGCTATACATGACAAAAACAAGCGCTCGAATTGCGACGAATGGCTAGCCGTTTCGCTGGCTTGAGTACCAAACACGTACGCGTGGGCCGGGAACGGAGACCTCCGAGGCCAAGCTTCCGACGCACGGCAGCCCGTTCTGGCGGTCGGAGTGGCCTTCCATGACCCCTGGACGTAAGCCTGACCGTCGGTGCCCCCATCGGAGGTGGTTCTGGCGTCGACCAAATTCCACCGCGCGGGCCTCGTCTCCGAGTCCGCGGGGCTGCCGCGGCGTACAAGTCCGTAGCCGCGGTGCGCGCCACCATCGATGGCGTTGGATACGCCCCTTGGTTTTGGGCGCGACGTGGGTGTGACGGCTGGGGAACGCCGTTTTCGTGGAGTAAGATGTACCACCCCGCCGCGCACGCAGGGGTGCCGGCGGCGCCGCTGGCGGAGCAAACCCCGCCTTCCTGGCTCGCCCAATCACAGAGGCTGCCAATTGGAGGCTGCCCGCAGTTTTTTCTGGCATACCTCGTCGGTGGCAGCCAACGCGGCGACTGCGCGGGCCTCGGCGACCGCCGGACGCGCGCGGCGGCGGCGCCAACCGGCTCGGATGGCGGAGAAGACCTTCGACATCGCCATCACGTCGCGGCTGCCCTGCGAGGGCTGCTGCGAGACGATCAAAAACGTGCTCGCCAAGGTGCACTACATCAAGCACGTCGAGGTGGACAAGAACGCGCAGAGCGCCAAGGTGACGGCGCTCACGGGGTCCTGCATCTGCGAGCCCGACGGCGCGGGCAACATGCCCAAGTGCCTCTGCACCGAGAAGGGCATCATCTCGGCGGTGCAGTCCGCGGGCTTCGACAGCGTCATCAGCCCCTGCACGGGGCCCGACGGCGTCGCGCGCCAGCCCTGCGTCGCTTCCCAGTACTTCAAGTGCACCTGCGGGCCCAACTGCCAGTGCGGCGACGACTGCCAGTGCGCGGGCTGCCCCGGGCTCGCGGCCGTGCCGGACCCGGGCGACAACCTGCTCCTCACCTTCTCCGTCGCGACGGCGCTCATCGCCATCGGCTACATCTGGGCCAAGTGGAAGTACGCCGAGGACGGCCTCTTCGCCTAAGGGAGCTTACGGCGGTGGGACCGCCTCGTCGTCGTCGTCGGAGTCGTCGAGGCCGTCGAAGATCGCCGCGAAGTGCGCGTCCGTCGACGACCGGTCGCGCGCCTCGGGCGCCGGCGGCGGGTCGAAGAAGCGCGCGGTCCCCCGGTCCGCCTCCTTGCGCTCCTCGCCCGGCGGCGGCTTCTTCGGCGACAGCGCCGGGTCGTTGAGCTTGTCCGAGATCTGCCCCCAGGTCGGCGGCCGCCCCGGCCGCCACGCGTCGCGATAGAGCGCGTCGAAGTGGGCCGCGACGGCGGCGTTGTGCCGCGGGTCGTCGAGCGGGCTCGCCGGCGGCGGCGGCGGCGGCGGCGCGTCGCCGTCGTCCGACGCGTCGTCGGCGTCGTCGTCCGACGCGTCGTCGCCGCCGAGCGCGGACGCGGCCCGCAGGAGCGACTTGAAGTTCGCCACCGTGTGGGGCTCGGCCTGGAGGAGGTAGTCGTCGAGGAGCGGCCCGACGTCCCGGCCCGGCGCGCGGTGGCCCAGCACGGACTCGAGGATCGCGCCGTCGAGGCGGCCGTCGTCGTTCTTCAGATCCTCGAAGACGCGCGCCGCGGCGTCGCGCGGCTCGCGCTTCGCGAGCGCCTCGGAGAAGACCGGCGGCGGCGGCGCGCCGCCGCGGAGCGCGTAGGACGGCGTCTCCGGCGCCAGGAGGCGCAGCGGCGCCTCGACGTCGTCGTCGTCGACGTCGTCGCCGCCGTCGTCGCTGTCCGAGTCCATCTCGTCGGGCGTCTGGTCGATGAGCTTCGACACGAGGAACCGCTGCCGCTTCAGCTGGATCTCCACGTCCTCCGGCTGGTCCGGCACGACGATCATGAGCCCGACCATGAGCGTGAACACGATGTACTGGACGAGGAAGAAGCCGAAGGACCGCTGGTTCGGCCGGAGCCCCCCCTCGACGGCGAAGGGCTCCCAGCGGACCGTGTAGAAGATGCACGCCGCGTTCGTCGTCACGGCGCAGGCCGTGATGAGCTGGAAGACGAGCAGCCAGGAGCCGACGGACCAGGCCACGGCGGGCCACTCGCGCCGCTTGTAGAACAGGAACTTCTTCAAATCGTTCGTGCCCTCGTAGTGGTTCGCGAACCACGCGAGCGCCGTGAGGCACGGCAGCGCCGTGATGAAGAGCGTGATGAACGAGAAGCGGATGGCGAGGACCGTCATGTCGCCGATGTTGTCGTCGATGTCGTCGGACGCGCTCAGGTCGAAGTCGACCTCCGCGGCCGACGCCGCGGCCGTCGTCTTGCCGCGGTCGCGCGCGTCGCGGTACCGCGCGCGGACCCAGGGCAGGGCCATCTCGCTCGCGTAGTTCGACGCCATCTTGCTGACGAAGATGACGCCCAGGTTGAGCTCCAGCGCGCTGTAGCACGTGCCCTTGCCGACGACGACCTCGCGGCTGCCGCCGCGCGGGCAGCCCTCGACGAGCCGCTGGAAGAACGCGTTGTAGAGCAGCGGGATGTTGTAGTTGAAGAAGAAGAAGGACACGAGCTTCAGCACGAGGTTGTTCATGTACTCGACGTCCGTGCGGTGGTTCTCCCACGCGTTGAGCTTCGTGGCGATCGTCACGAAGCCGTAGTTCATGACCTCGATCTGCGCCGTGTTGAGCACGGACGCGCCCGCGGCGACGTAGAGGCCGCGGTTCGGGCGGAAGATCGTCTGCACGGACACGCGGACCCAGATGACGGAGCTCGCCGCGGCGACGACGAGCACGACGAGCAGGAACACGGTCACGAACGACGCGACGCCCTTGCGGTTCCGCTTCGACTTCGGGTAGTGGATCTCCGGCGTGCCGTCGACGAGCGACGGCCGCGTCGCGCCGCGGAAGGCCGGCCGGTTCGGCACGGCCTCGTCGAGGCCCAGCGTGCCCCAGGACAGCGCCATGCGGCACTCCTTGCGCTTCCAGAACTCGAGCATCAGCACGGCCCAGCAGCACTGGAAGAAGGTTAAGACGGGCAGGATGCGCGAGTGCTTCCGCGCGCGGTCCGCGATCGTGTTCTCCCAGTACATGGCCGCCGTCGTCGCGACGCCCGCGGCCGCGCTGAAGCCGCACCAGAGCGCGAGGTGGTTCACGAACGCGAAGTAGAGCGCGAGGCGCTCGCCGAAGTAGCTGCGCACGAGGTCGAGGCGCGGCGCGTGCATGGACCAGCGGCTCGCGAGCTCGCGCCGCGCGCGGTCGTGGAGCGGGTACGCGGCGAGGAAGTCGCCGCCCTCGACCTGCGCCTTCACCGAGAGCCCGCAGCCGCCCTGGCGGTGGGGCATCTCCAAGATGGCGAAGAGGAGCTTGAGCCGCAGGAGCGACCACTCGAAGAGGTGCGCGCAGCCCCGCGGCGCGTCGTAGAGCGCCTGGAGGCCCTCGTCCGTGTCGTACTTGCCGTGGATCAAGACGTAGGGCCCGCGGCCGTGCGTGAGCTTGGGGTCGTGGTGCAGCGTCCGGGGCTTGATGCCCTCGGCGCCGCGCGTGATGCGCCGCTCCACGGCGGCGGGGCAGAGCGGCACGATCCAGTCCAGCTGGTCCGCCGCGTGCGCGAGGCGGTGCACCGGCGCGCGGAGGAGCACGAAGAGCACCTTCCGGCCCCGCGACGCGCGCTCGAGCCTCGTCTCGACGCCGCCGCCGTGGAGCTTCTTGACGATCTCGCGCGCCTTGGCGCTGAGCCGGCCGCCGTCCGCGTCGTCGTCGTGGCGCAGCGCGAGCACCGCGTCGTAGCCGTAGCCGTAGCGGCTGTGGAACGCGTCGTCGGAGAGCCTCGCGCGCCGCGGGTCGTGGTGCAGGAGCTTGCAGAACTGGTCCAGGGGCATGCGGGGCACCTGCACGGAGCCGCGGAAGGGCCGGTGGCGCTTCGCGGCGCCCAGGCGCGTCGCGCGCGTCGTCTCCCGGTCGACCATGAAGGTGATGGTCGACTCCCAGTCGAGGTCGTCGTCGTGCGCCGGCGCCTCCTCGTCGTCGACCTCGTAGCGCGCCGCCATGGCGCCGTCGCGCGACGAGGCGGCCCGCCGACTGTCACGCGGGGAGGCAGCCGCCGGCTAGGATGTGTCCATCGTTGGTCCGAGCGACAAGTTGACGTCAAGAAGTTGGCCTTTACGGGGGGCAGCTCACGCGTCCTCCGTCGGCTCCGGCGCGAGCGTCAGCCCCCACTGGACGAGGAGGCCGTCGCCGGCGCCCGTGGAGAGGAGGAGCTGGGGCGTGGTCTTGACCGCGAGGGCCGCGGCGACCGCGTGCGCGACGGGCGCGTGCCCGCCGTCGGGCCGCTTGAGCGTGACGCGGACGCCGCTCGGCGCCGGGCGCACGGCCGGCGGCGGCTCGACCTTGGCCTTCTTCGGCGCGTCGTCGTCGTCCTCGTCCTCCTCGTCCTCGGCCGGCGGCTCCACCGCGCCCTGGAGCGCGTCGAGCGACTCCGCCGGCGCCGCGGCCTTGGCGGCCCAGTCGACGGCCGCGACGTCGTCGGGCGCGGCGACCTTGCACTCCTTGACGACGTACTCCTTGGGCGCCGCCTTCTTCTTCTTCGGCGCCTCCGCCTCGTCGTCGCCCTCGCCGGCGTCGTCCGCCGCGGGCTCGTCGTCCGCGCCCGGCGCCGCAAAGTAAGAAACGCCGCTCGGCGTCGCGGCCCGGAGGAAGGCGCCGTCGGCGGAGAAGTCGACGGCGAGCAGGGGCTCGGGCCCCGGCGGCGACGCGGCGACCTTGCGCCACGCGCCGTCCTTGAACGCGTAGACGTCGACGGCGCCCGCCTCCGTCGCGACCGCGAGCGACGGCCCCTCGGGCGCCCAGGCGACCGCGGCCACGGGCGCGCCGGCGCCGGGCTCGCAGATGACCGTGGCCAGCTCGAAGGGCTTGCGCTTCGCGAGGACGACGGCGCCCGCGGCCGTGCCGAAGGCCAGGGTCCGCGCGGTCGGCGAGTAGTCGACGGCCGTCGCCGCGGAGGACCCGTAGGACAGCTCGCCGGCGACTTTGTGCTTTTCCGTGTCCCAGAGCTTGACGAGGCCCTCGAAGACGCCGCCGGCCGTCGCCGCCTCGGCCTTGCCCCGCGGGTGCGTCGCGACCGCGTGCCCCGCGGGGCCCGGCCCCGTCGCGTAGCGCGCGCCGTCGCCGATCGCGCCGCCCGCCTCCAACGGCAGGGCGAACTCGCGCGCCGTGCCGTCGGCCGACGCGACGAGGAGCGCCGCGGCGCCCGCGGCGAAGTCGAGGGACGTCACCGCGAAGGGCTCGGCGCAGCCGTCGAGCGACGCGACGCACCGGAGCGCCACGGACGGCTTCGGCGCATCCAACAGGTCCACGGGCGGCGCCTCGCGCACCTCGGGCACGTACGTGGGCTCGAAGAGCTTCGTGGACGCGTCCTCGGCCTCGTCGTCGGGGGCCGGCGCGGGGCCGATCGCGTCCGCCTGCGTGCCGTTGATCCAGTTGCCGCGGTCGGGCGGCGCGGCCGGGTCCGGCGCGTCGTCGACGGGCGGGTCCAGGGGCTCGGCCACGGCGACGGCCCAGACGCGCGCGTCGCCGTCGGCGCCGCCCGTCGCGAGCACGTTCTTCGACGACGCGAGCGCGAGGACGGCCTGCCCCGCGTGGCAGAGCTGGGACTTGGAGAGCGTGCGGCCGCACCAGACGTGGAGCGACCCGTCGGCGCCGCCCGTCGCGAAGGACTCGCGGCCCGGGAGGCCCGAACCGCCGTCGAGCGTCGCGACGGCGAGCTGCGGCGCGAGCTTCTCGTCCGAGAGCAAGGGCGCGGCCGCGTAGCCGTCGCCGACGTAGGCCTCGCGCCAGAGGAAGCCGCCGTGCTCGCCGAGCACCACGAAGGCCGACGGCGAGACCCAGGCCGCGGCGTAGGCCGCGCCGTGGGCGGCCGCGCCGGCGAAGGTCTTCGTCAGTTTGGACGCGCCGTCGACGTCGAAGACCGCGACGGACCCGTTTCCGACGACGAGGAGCGCGCCGGCGCCGCCGGGCGCGAAGGCGACGAGACTCGCGGGCTTCGACGCGCCGAAGACGTCGTCGGCCCGGGCTAGGACCTCCAGGGACCCGCCGCGCCAGAGGGCCACGGCGCCCGTCGAATCGCCCGACGCGCAGATCCCGCCCGCGGCGGCGACGCAGAGCACCTCGGCGCCGTGGGCGTAGGAGACGCGCTGGTCGACGACGTCCTTGGACGCCTTCACGACGGCGAGCTCCGACTCGAGGGCGCCCGCCTCCCTGTACTCGTCCTCCTCCTCCTGCGTCAGGGGCCGGAAGACGTCCTCGGTCGGCACGACGACGTCCTCGTCGTCGTCGTCCTCATCGTCGTCGCGGGCCGCGCCGGGGGGCGCCGGCTCCCAGTCCTCCGCCGCCGGCTCGAGCTCGAGCTTCTCGACGACGCCCGTCTCCTCGACGCGCGTCTTCGTCGCGACGACGGCCAAGGACCCGGCGGCGTACGCGACCGCGCCGGCGCCGACGTAGACGCAGGAGCCCCGCGCGCCGCGGCAGGACACGCCGTAGACCCAGGCCAGGGACGCGCGGACGCGGCTCGGCGGCTTCTTGGGCTCCGGCTCCGGCGGCGGGTCCTCGCCCTCGGCGGGCTCGGGCCTCTCCGGCCCCGGCTCGGCGACGTCCGGCGGCGGGATGTCCAGGGGCCGCGCCGCCCCGAGGCGGCGGATGATGGCGGCGATGCGATGCTCCGGCACGGCGCCGGCGCCGGGCGCCTCGCGCACGGACACGCTCAGCAGCTCGTCGAGGCGGTCGCCGTCGTCGCTCTCCGAGAGCACGGCCAGATGCCGCTTCGTGAAGGCCGCGAGCGCGGGCACCTTCGGGCGGTCCATGGACCCGGCGACGTAGTTGGACGCCACGCCGTCGTGGAGCCGCGCCCACGTGCCGCCCGTCTCCTCGTCCATCGCCAGCTCCCAGACGTCGCTGTGCGCGCGCCGGAGCCGCCCGTCGAAGCCCCCGAAGGCCAGCACCTTGCGCTCGTTGCCCAGGACGGCGCAGACCACGCCCGACCGGCGGCTCGGCGGCGCCAGGGACGCGTCGGCCACCGCGCAGGGCATCGCGGACGCCGTCGCGACGTAGGGGTCCACGGACGACGCGCCCGCCGCCACCTCGACGGTGTGGACGACCGCCGCCGCCGCCGCGGCGTCCTTGGGCTTCGTCAGTCCGCCGAAGAGGAGCACCTTGGCCGTGCCCGCCCGGGCGAGCGTCGCGCCGAGCCGCGGCGCGGGCGCGGGCGAGGAGTCCGGTCCGAAGACGACGGCCGACCACGTCGCGATGGTCTTCAACGAAAACGCGAGCACCCAGAGGTCGCCCAGCAGCGCCGCGGCGCCGGCGTCCGCCGCGCCGCCGTAGACGACGACGAGCCCCGGCCCGTCGTTGGACATGCCGCGGGCCTCGCACGCGACGGCGTCGCGGCGCCGCGACGGCGGCCGGCCGGACGCCTTGGGCCGCTTCCACTCGAAGAAGCCGTCGCCCCGGGCGAGGAGCCAGGCGTCGTTGAAGCGCGCGCCGTTGCCGCCGAGCCCGCCGAAGACGAAGAGGCAGGCGCCGCCGTGGACCGCGCAGGCCGCGTGGTGCGCGCGCGCGTCCGGCGCCGCGGCGCCGCGCGCGCGCGTGCGGTCGCAGAGCACGGCCCCGGGGAACTCGGAGACGACGTGGACGTCGGACGTGCAGGCGTTGGCGTCCTGCTCGTCGACGCCGCCGTACATGACGTAGCAGCCGTCGAGGACCGTGAAGGAGGAGCCCTCGCGGCGCCGCGGCGGCCGGTACTTGCGCGGCGCCGCGTAGCGCGCGAGCACGTCGACGGCGCCGGCCGCGGGCGCCGTCGCCGTCGCGCGGGCGACGACGACGTCCGACGCCGCGGCGCTCAGCGCCAAAATCCAGGCGGCGAACTCGGGCGCGGCCTTGAGGGCGCCCTCGAGGGCCCTGCGGTCGCCGAGGCCCTTGGGCGCGGCCTTCAACGCCAGGAGCGTGAGCGCGTAGTCCGTCTCCTCGGCCGACGGCGGCGCGACGACGCCCTTGGTCCAGCAGGCGACGCCGACGATGACGTGCTGCAGCGTCAGGCCCGCCGTCTCGTCGAGGCGGCACGCGTCCGCGAGGAGCGCGAGGACGTCGTCGAGCTCCGCCGCGGCGGTCAAAGCCGCGGGGCCGAGGAGCCGCGCCATGTCGACCTCGGTCGCGTCGTTCGGCGCGCCCTTGATCCCGCCCTTGAGCAAGGCGAAGGCCGCGTCCGCCGCCGCCGCGCCGACGACGGGCCGCACGACGGCGCGGAACTCGTCGAGCTCGACGCTGTAGCCCTGGGCGTACTCCCCAAAGGCCGTGCGCAGCGCCCGGAGCTGGGACGCGCGCAGCCCGACGAAGGGCAGCGCCGCCTCCTCGAAGGCCACGCCCTTGGGCGGGTTGATGCCCTTGGTCGCGCCGGCGCCCATGGTGCCCGGGAGTGAGAGCAGGCGCGGCGCTAGAGATGGGGCCTCAGCGTATCTGCTCCTTGACGGCAACGCTAGGAAGGGCCGTCCCTAACCCCGGCCCCGACCTCAATTCCGGCCCCCCTGGGAGAGCGGCGTGAGGAGCTGATTGCGGGCTCTGCGCGCGCGATGCTGCGACCGCGCGCTGCCTACCTTCCAATGGCTTTTAGCCATGTCCACGCGTTACTTCTGGCGCATCGATTCCGACCGGAAACACCGTCGCGCGCTCGCGTGAGGACGCACCAGAGCATCTCTACGGCACGCGCTGCGACGTCGCAGCCGTACTTCGTCGTCGGACGGCTGCGCGCGTGCGACTCGAGCGTTCGGAGCTCATCTCTATTGCGCGGGCGGCGATTCCGAGCCATCCTGCTGTTCGAGGACCGGCGCACGCCGATGGACTGCTGGTCGGAGACGAAAAGCGCGAGAGGCGCCAATTCGTTGGCGAGAGGCTAGGACGCCTGCGACGGGCGTGTCGTCGTGTCCGTGTGTTTCGAACCAAGTCTATCGACCAGACGCGGCGCCCGGTGACTCGGAGGGCGCTCACAGCGGCTCGAATCGACCTACTTCGTGGAGCAGCGCGACTTCATCCACATGATTTCGAACACCTGCTTGATCCACGCCGAAAACGCCAACGCCGACGGTCCCATCACACCTGCGTGGTCGCACGAGTACTACCTCGGATCGTGGGCGCCAAACGTTTGAAAAGAATGCCACCACGGGCGACCAACGCGTGTGCCTCGTCGAGCCCCTACTTGTGCCCCCGCAGTCGCCGGTAAAGCGCGTACCGTGGCACTCTAGAGGTGCCTCCGGGGCCGCTCCCCACCCGTCTCGGCCCGCACGGGGGAGCGGGGTCGCACCGGGCACCGGAACAGGCCGCCTGCGCCCGGGGTCACCGCGCGGCCGGCGGTGCTGAGATTGCGGCCACCGCACCACACGAAACCCAGCAAAATGGCCCATCGCAGCCGCGACCAGCGTCGCCTGTGGTCTGTCGGCGGCCTTTTGCACCCGCCTCGCCCCCCTGGGGTGCTGGGAGAACATGGATCGCGCCCATGGGGCCGCTCGCTGCGCTAAGCGCGCGCTACAAGGGGGGGCCGGAATTAGGGACACCCCCCCAAAATCGCTGTTTTTGCGACACTAGCGCGTCGTCACGCCCCTCACGGTTCGCGAAGCCGGCCCGTGGGCTCAACCGCAGCACCACCGAGCGGAAGTACACAAAGTTTCAGCCACGGCGGAGGCGACCTTGCAGCCCGTCGAGGTACCCCCGGTAGGGGCCGGAATAAGGGCCGGCCCTTCCTAGCCTGGGGCCGCCCTGCGCATGCGCCACGGCTTAGTGCTGCAGCTCGACAAGCAATGCTGCTCGTGCGCGGCAACATGCTCGTGCGCGCGGCGGCCTGCGCCGGCGCGGGCCTGCTCGGCGGCACGCGGCGCTGCTCGGCGCTGAGCGCGAGCCCGAGCGCGGCGCCGGAGGGCTACGAGCTGCTGCACGTGAGCTGCTACTTCCGCCACGGCGCGCGCACGCCGCTCTTCGGCCTCGACACGCCCGTCGTCCAGGGCCACGCCTGGGACGGCTGCGCCGCGAGCGCGCGCCTCTCCGCGGGCATCGACGCGGGCGTCGACGACGTCGTCCGGCTGCGCGGCCGCGGCACGACCGCGGCGCCGCCGCCGTCCATGGTCGACGCGAAGCAGCGCGAGACCGTGCTGCCCGGCGGCGGCCGCGCCGGCGAGCTCACGGCCGTGGGGCTGGCGCAGGCGGAGGGCCTGGGGCGGCGCCTGCGGAGCCGCTACGCGGCGCGCCTCGGCGCCGACGACCCGGCCTTCTGGGCCGACCGCGTCGAAGCGCGGACGACGCACGTCGCGCGCTGCGCCCTGACGCTCCGCGGCGTCCTGGTCGGCCTCGGCGCGTCCGGGCCCGTCGACGCGGACGCCGCGCACGCGTCCGAGGAGACGCTCACTCCGAACCTCCGGCGCTGCGACCGCCTCAACGCGTTCTGGCAGGAGCTCCGCGCCCAGCGCCGCGCGGCGCCGCCGCCGGACAAGGGGCCCGTGGTGGACTCGTTGCTGAAAAAGGTCCCCGCGGACTCGGGCTTCGACTTCCCCGTGCTGAACGTGCCGCTGAAGGACGCGTTGATCGCGCTCGCGTCCGAGGGCGGCGCGCTGCCCTGGGGCCTCGACGTCGACGAGCTCCAGGCGCTCGACGACCTCGCCGCCGCCGAGGTCGCGACGCTCCTCGGCGTCGGCGTCGACGACGCGGACCAGGCCGCGGTGCTCCGGCTGGGCGCGGGGCCGCTCGTCGCCGAGCTCCGGGCCGCGCTCGCGGCCGCGGCCGCGGCGGAGACGCCGACGCTCCGCCTCATGTCGGGCCACGACACGACCGTCAAGCCGCTCCTCGTCGCCCTCGACATGTACGACCACAAGTGGCCGCCCTTCTGCGCCTGCGTCGCGCTCGAGGTCTACAAGACGCCGCACGGGCGCGCGGTCCGCGTGCTCTACGACGGCGCGACGGCCGGCGCGTGCTACGGCGCGCCGACGGACTTTTACGTCGCGCTCGACTTCGAGGATCTGGATGCGTTCCTCGCGAAGCTCTCCGCGGTGGCGCTCGAGGGCGCCGCGTGGTCGCGCGCGTGCGCGGCGGGCGCCGGCGCGGTCGTCGGCGACGCGGCCGCGGGGGGGAGTTCGTTTTAAGACTAGGCTAAGTTTAGGTCTGCGAGCCTCTTCTTGATAATGTCAATGAAGTCGGACTCGGAGGTTCCGGCAAGGGCCCGGGTCGCGTCGATTTCAGCAACCAATTTTCTGGATGTCTCTTCGCCTTTGGCGGCCGCGCGCGCGAACCAAAGTCTGGCTTTATCAACATCACGATGCCCGCCAAAGCCGCTGAGGTAGTGTGCCCCGAGATTCCGTTGAGATGAAGTATGGCCTTGCTCCGCGGCAAGTTTACAGTACACGAAAGATTCTTCGTAGTTTGCTGTGCCCTTTAATTCATTCGCCATGTGGTATTGCGCCTGAACATATCCCTGGTCCGCGGCGATGCGCGACAGCTCAATCGACTTGTCCTTATCAATTCTGACTCCATCCTCGCCCAAATCGTACATGCGTGCAAGAACTCCCGACGCATACGCGAACCCGAGCTCCGAGGCCTCGTGGTAGAATTTCACGGCCTGTTTCACGTTCTTCTCGAGGCCGAGGCCTCCGGTGCGATATATATCAGCCAAATATGAGATGGCTACCGGCTGCGAGTTCATCGCATGACGATGAAGAAGACGTACCATCTCCTTGTGATTTTTTGGATAAGGCGCCCAACACAGCGGACACGCTTTTCGTCTATATTTTGCCGCGCACAACGTGCAGATCTTCCGGGCGCAGCAGAACTGAAGCTCGTCCTGGACCTCGTCAACGTTCGCGTCCCACTTCTGTGAGCAGATCGCGCACCCGGATTGGTCCCGCGTGGACGCCGTGGAGAGCGGCTCCGGCTTCGCGCGCGTGTCGTCCAAACCCGTGAGCGATTTCACCCAATCCGCCGTCGCCACCGCCGCCCGTTGCTCGTCTCGCATCCTTCTGCAGACCATCCAATGGCCTCGTTCCCCTCGATAGGCGAGGCATTTCTTCGAGCAGTACTGGACGGTCTCGCACGGGCAATGAAACGCAGCGTCGTCGCCGCAGATTACGCACGGACCCACAGGGGTTTTCTTGAGCGCCTTCTTCTTCTCAAACTCTCGGACTTTCTCCTTGTCGAACATCGTGCGTGCGTCGGCGGTCTGTGTGCTCGAGCACGGACGAGCGAGCTGTGGCAAGGCGACGCCGATTCAGGTGCGCCCAGCTCTGGGCAGAGCGACACCCCGCGCTCCTGGTACGCCCGACGCGACCCTCAACCACCCCCCGGCCTATGCGGACGATGGCCGGGTACGAGGAGCTCGACCCCCCGGCGCGCCGGCGCCCGGGCGTCGTCCTGGGCCTCGCCGCCCTCCTCGCCCTCGGCACCATCGCCATCGGCACGCGCCCGCGCCCCCCGGCCCTCGCCGAGGCCGACGAGGCCTTCAAAACCGATGTGATCAAAGTTTGGTACGACAACGGCGACGGCATCTCAATGCCTAGGACGACGCTCTTCGCGTTCGTCGCGCCGTTGCTCCCGGAAGGCGCGACGTTCGAGGGAGCGACGTACGACGGCCTCGACGCGCTCGCGGCCGAGCGGCCCTTCGCGCCCGGCGACGTCGTCATTTTTAGCCTGCGCGCGAACCTCGCGGTGAACGCCGTCCCCGGCGGCGGCGACGTCGACCCGGATTGCGCGTACGCGTGGTCCGGCGCCGACCCGCTCCTGTCGGCGCCCGCGGTCATGGCCCTCTTCGAGCAGGACACGCCGCTGACCTTGGTGGAAATCTCCGACTGGGCCTGCAAATCGAATCTCCCGACATCGATCCACAACCCCATCCGCACGAGCTACGGCGACGGCGTCATGGACCGCGCGCGCCTCGCGCCGTTCGGCGTCGAGTACGCCTTGGCGGACTTCCTGGCGGCCCTGCCGACGGCGGAGCCCGTTTTGGAGCGGACCTTCGCCTTTGGCATCAAGGGGCACGTCACGTACCGCAAGCCGTCGCGGAGGGAGTTGCAGAAGGTCTTCAACGAGAGCCTCGACGCGCTGTCCGACGCCGTCCGCGGCCGGCCCTACGTCTTCGCGCTCGAGGACATCCACGAGGACCCCCACTGGACGGACGCGCCGGGCCGCGGCGGCTACGGCGTCGACTACCTCGCCATGCTCGCGCGGGCCGTCTTCCTGCTCTGCCCCTCGGGCGACTCCTACGTGACGGGCTGCGCGACCGAGGCGCTCGAGATGGGGGCCATCCCCATCATGGAGAACCCCGCGGCCTTCAAGGGCTGCGCACATCCCGCGGGCTACTACGAAGCTCTAGGACTGAACCTCACCGTGAAGAACTGGCACGAGCTGCCGGAGCTCCTCGCCTTCCACTTCGACCGCGACGATTACGAGGACCACGTCGTCGAGCTCCACGACGCGGTCACGGACTGGTGGGCGGCGTGGAAGAAGGACGTCGCGGACGACATCGTCGCCTTCCGCCGCGAGGTCCGGGCGAACCCGCCGCCGGAGAACGCGTGCGCGCGCGTGGCGCTCTCCGACGACGAGGTCGCGGCGCAGGACGCGGCCTTCGAGGCCTACTACGCGCGGGACCACTGGTTCGACGACTACCACGACTCGCCCTTCGACGGCGGGAACTGGTGTAGCAAGTACGAGAACGGGCCAAGAGGCTGGTCCCGAGGCGCGCCGTGCTTCGACCCCGCCTGCGCGCCGCCGTCCGCGGCGGCCTTCGCCTGCGGCGGCGCGGCGGCGGCGGCGGACGTCGGCGTCGAAATCCCCGAGGCGACGGACGTCATCCGCGTCTTCACGACAGGATTCGAGGGCTGGGCTGGGATCACGCTCGAATATTTCATCTCGGAGGTTTTGCCCGACGGCGTGGCCTTCGAGTTCGTCGGCTACGACGACCTCGCGATTCTAGTCGAGGACGCGCCGTTCGCGCCCGGCGACGTCGTCGTCTACGATCCGACGCAAAACATCCGCACCCGCGACACGCCCGCGGGCGTCGAGATCAACCCCAGGTGCGTCTACAACTGGGCCGACAGCGATCCGCTCCTCCTCGCGCCGGCGTTCATGTCCCTCCTCGAGCAGCGCGTGCCCCTCACGCTCGTCGAGGGCTTCGAAGACTGGTCCTGCAAGAGCCGGCCGCCCGCGAGCGTCCACAACTACGTGCGCACGTCCTACTCGTCCAACGGCGTCATGGACCACGCGACGCTGCTCCCCTTTGGACCCGAGTACCACCCCTTGGACGACTTCGTGGCCGCGAGGAATACGTCGCGCCGCGTGCTCGACCGGCCGCTCGCGTTCGGGCTCCAGAACACGCTCGAGTACCGGAAGCCGTCGCGCGCGGAGCTCGACCGCCTCTACGGCGCGTCGCGGGGCGCGCTCGTGGATGCCGTCCGCGGCCGGCCCTTCGTGTTCGAGCTCCGCAACCAGTACGACAACGACGACGACGGACGAGACTACGGCGTCGACTACCTCGGCATGCTCGCGCGGGCCGTCTTCCTGCTCTGCCCCTCGGGCGACTCCTACGTGACGGGCTGCGCGACCGAGGCGCTCGAGATGGGGGCCATCCCCATCATGGAGAACCCCGTGGCCTTCAAGGGCTGCGAAGATCCCGCGGGCTACTACGAAGCTCTGGGACTGAACGTCACCGTGAAGAACTGGCACGAGCTGCCGGAGCTCCTCGCCTTCCACTTCGACCGCGACGACTACGAGGACCACATCGTCGAGCTCCACGACGCGGTCATGGACTGGTGGGCGGCGTGGAAGAAGGACGTCGCGGACGACATCGTCGCCTTCCGCCGCGAGGTCCGGGCGAGCCCGCCGCCGGAGAACGCGTGCGCGCGCGTGGCGCTCTCCGACGACGAGGTCGCGGCGCAGGACGCGGCCTTCGAGGCCTACTACGCGCGGGACCACTGGTTCGACGACTACCGCGACTCGCCCTTCGACGGCGGCAGCTGGTGCAGCAAGTACGAGAACGGGCCCGACGGCTGGACCCAAGCGCCGTGCTTCGACGCGGCCTGCGCGCCGGCGTCCGCGTCCGCGTTCGCCTGCGGCGGCGAGGCCGTCGTCGCCGCCATCCCCGCCGAGGCGCCGGCGACGGACGTCATCCGCGTCTACCACGCTCTCGAGTACGAGGCGGCGACGACGGTCCTCACGTTCCTCGGGCCGCTCCTGCCCGCGGGCGTCGCCTTCGAGGGCGTGGCCTACGCCGACCTCGACGCGCTCGTGGCCTCGGCCGTCTTCGAGCCGGGCGACGTCGTCATCTACTCCGTCATGGCCGAGGTCGCGACGGGCGACGCGCCCGGCGGCGCCGTCGACCCCGGCTGCGCCTACACGTTCGCGGGCGTCGACCGGCTGCTCCTGGCGCCCGCGCTCATGTCCCTCTTGGAGCAGCCCGTGCCCCTGACGCTCGTCGAGGCCACGGACTGGGCCTGCAAGGTCCGGCTCCCGGCGAGCGTCCACCACTACGCGCGGTCGTCCTACGGCGACAACGGCGCCATGGACGGCGCGACGCTGCTGCCGTTCGGCATCGAGTACGGGCCCTTGGCGGACTTCCTGGCGGCCCTGCCGACGGCGAAGCCCGTTTTGGAGCGGACCTTCGCCTTTGGCATCAAGGGGCACGTCACGTACCGCAAGCCGTCGCGGAGGGAGTTGCAGAAGGTCTTCAACGAGAGCCTCGACGCTCTGTCCGACGCCGTCCGCGGCCGGCCCTACGTCTTCGCGCTCGTGGACATCCACGCGGACAACGCGTGGCAGAACGCCTTTTTCGCGAACGACGCGAGCGAGGAGGTCGACTACCTGGAGATGCTCGCCGATTCGGTCTTCGCGCTCTGTCCGGCCGGCGACACGTACGTGTCCGGGTGCGTCTCGGAAGCGTTGGAGATGGGGGCCATCCCCATCATGGAGAACCCCGTGGCCTTCAAGGGCTGCGAGGACCCCGCGGGCTTCTACGAGCGGCTGGGCCTGGGCCTGACCGTGAAGAACTGGCACGAGCTGCCGGAGCTGCTCGCGTCCCACTTCGACCGGGACGACTACGAGGACCACGTCGTCGAGCTCCACGGCGCGGTCATGGACTGGTACCGCGGCTGGAAGCAGGGCGCCGCGGATTCCATCGCCGACTTCCGACGCGAGGTCCGGGCGAGCCCGCCGCCGGAGAATGCGTGCGCGCGCGTGCCGCTCTCCGGCGACGCGGCCGCGGCGCAGGACGCGGCCTTCGCGGCCTACTACGCCCAGGACCACTGGTTCGACAACTACCACGACAGCGTCTGGGACCCGGGCGTCTGGTGCTCCAAGTTCCTCAAAGGCCCGCAGACCCATGTTTACATCATGGGCGCGGGCTGCTTCGACAGCGCGTGCGTCCTGGCGTCCGCGGCGGCGTTCGCGTGTTGAGCAGTAAATTTTACCTAGGACACGTGTGGGGAGCGGTGTTTGGCGGGTTAGAAATCGCGGGCGCGGCGGTATTTGGGCATAGCGTAGTTTTCTTCGGAGAGGGATGTGCGACGAGGCGCGCGCATTCCCCCCCCTTCGCGGGGATTTGACTGTCCGAGGCGTTGTCCGAGATCGCGGCACGAGGCGGGCCGTGCAACTGCTCCAGCAGGAGCCGCACGCACGGCGACCTGCGGGACGGCGACCCGCGGGACTAAGCGGGTCCGAGGCAGGACCGAGGCAGGACTGCGACGGGACGGCGGGACGCGCCCGTCGAGCCCACTATTGTAGCCTAGCCTAGCGGCTGGCAAAGCTTCCCTCGAGCCAGACCTTCAAGAGCCGATCTCGTACGCGTCTTTCGCTGCACCAGTACACCTAAAAAAATGGCCCGCATCGCTGCTCTGATCGTCGCCCTCTTCGCGAGCGCCTCCGCGCTCGCCCCCACGCGCCGCAACTTCCTCGGGAAGGTCGCGGGCGCCGTCACGGGCGCGTCCGTCGCCGCGCCGGCCCTCGCCGACACGGACTACGCGGGCCTGCCCTACCTCGGCGGCTCGAGCAAGATCGACATTAACAACGCGAACATCCGCGTCTACGCCAAGCTCCCCGGCATGTACCCGGGCGCCGCCGGCAAGATCGCGTCGAACGGCCCGTACAAGAGCGTCTCGGACGTCTACAACATCAAGGGCCTCAAGGACGCGGAGAAGGCCGCCATCAAGAAGTACGAGAGCCGCTTCATCACCCTCGAGCCGGCGCCCATGTACGTCATCGATCGCATGAACAACGGCCTCTACCGCTAAGCGGTCCCTCCCTCGCGGCGAAACGGGTCCGTCGCCACTTCGTCTAAGCTGGGCGGCGCCCCACTGTCATGCTTCTCTTCGCGCGCGCTGCTGGGGCGGAGCGCGCGCCCGGGGGGCGCAGCGGTTCCGGGGGTCGCACCGGCGGTCCGCGGCCGCGCGGCGAGCCCGCCGCCGGCGAGCGGCCGCCGCCGCGCGGCGAGTCCTGTGGTCCTGCGCTTCAGCTATCGGGCGCGCCGCCCGGGGCGCGTCGCCCGGAGCAGTGGGCGCGCCGCGACGTCGGGCGCGGCGTCTCGCCGACCTTAGTCGAGGGGCGCTAGCGGAGGCAGCATTAGTACTGCATTACCCGCGATCGAGGAACACGACGGCCACGGAGATGTCGTCCGTCGAGCCGAGCGCGGCCGCGCGGTCCGCGAGGCTCCTGGCCACGGCGACGGCGTCGTCGGACGGCCGGAAGAGGCGCCGCGCGTTGACGAAGGACGCGGCGTCGTCGGACGAGAGCGCGTCCCAGAGCCCGTCGCTCGCGAGCACCAGCGCGTCGGCGTCCCCCAGGTCCAGGACGTCGACGTCCGGCGCCGGCGAGATCTTCGCGCGGCGCCAGGCCGACCCGCCGAGCGCGCGGGGCACGGCGACGCGCCAGTTCTCCGCGACGACGCGGCCGCCCTGGGCGCTGCCGCCCCGGTTCTCCAGCGCGCCGCGCTCCCGCGGGTCCGCGAGCGTGTGGTCCGACGTCGCGAAGGCCGCGGCGGGCCGCCCGGCGCGGACCGCGACGCAGCGGCTGTCGCCGCAGTGGAGCAGCGCGAGCGCCTGCGCGTCGACGTCGACGCACGCGGCGACGGCGACGGCGCCGCCGGGCCCGTCCTTGTCGAACTCCTCGGCGCAGCGCAGCCACGCGTAGCGGAGCGCGGCCTCGAGCGACGACGACCGGCCGCCGCGGGAGTCGAGCTTCTCCGCCAGAAGCTCTGGGAAGCGGCGCGCCGCGTGGCGGCTCGCCTCCTGGCCGCCGTGGCCGTCGGCGACGAGGGCGAAGGCGCAGCCGGCGCCCGCCGCGAGGGGCGCCGTCGCCTCGGCGGCGACGTCGCGCGTCGCCCAGTCGCGCGCGTCGAGGCGCGCCGCGTCGCCTCCCGCGGCGAGCGCGACGCAGTCCTCGATGGCCGCGCGCGCGGAGCCGCGCCGCCGGTAGGCGCCCAGGGACACGCCGACGACGCGCCGCGTCTCCGGCAGCAGCGGCGCCGCCCCGGGCCGCCGCTCCCGCGCGTCGACGACCAATTCCAGGAGCCGGCCCTTGGGCGCGGCCGTCAGCGCGGCCATGGCCGCCTCGAAGGTCGCCGCCCGCAGGTCGACGAACCGCACATCGCCACTTCGGTCCACGTACTCGAGGGACACGAGGCGGTCGCCGACGGCGGGCGCCCCGAGCCGCTCCGCCGCGCCGCCGGCGCCGACCTCGGCGACGAAGACGCCCGAGTCGTCCTCCTCGACGACGATGCCCAGGGGCATCTCCAGGGTCAGGCGCTTCTCGTCGCCGAACGCGAAGCCCTGCGTCGCCGGCAGGTCCGGCGGCCGCCGCTTCGCCTCGTCGACGACGCGGTTCGCCGCGGACGACCCGAGCCGGTCCGCGAGCGCGCGCGCCTCCGGCGCCGCGGACGCGCAGGACAGGCGCTTCGACGGGTCCCCGACCATCATGCGCTTCAGCAGCTTCCACAGATCCACGGCGCCGTCGGCCTCGAACGCGCCGATGGCCGCGAGCGGCGACAGCAGCCGCTCCGGTAACGCGGTCTGGGCCATCTTCGACCCGAGCCACGCGTCCAGGTCGTGGTCCGCCGCGGCGAACTCGACGTTGAAGGCGTCGACGTCGTTGTCGCTCCGCAGGTAGGGCGACAGCAGCACGCGGAGCGCGACGTACGCGCAGCCGTAGGCGTCGAAGGTCCGCCACGCGGGCGATTCCGGGTCGCAGAACCGCTCGGGCGGGCAGTAGCGGGGGCTCACGGGGCTCCGCCGCGCCTCGTAGCCCCGCCGGGACGCCACGTCGAAGCCGCTCCCGAAGTCGATGAGGCGCAAGGACCGGTCCCGCGGGCTCACGAGCACGTTGGAGGCTTTCACGTCGCGGTGCGCGACGCCCGCGCCGTTGACGCCCCCCACCGCCTCCGCGAGGAAGGCGAGCACGCGGGACGACACGGCGAGGTTCGCCGCGCCGGACCGCGCGGCCTCCGGGTCCGAGGCGGCGCAGGCCTCGTCGGGGAGCGCGGCGCACTCGTCCTCGTACGCGCACGCGTCGATGCCGAGCGCGGCCGCGAGCGCGTCGACGCCGCAGGACCCGTCGCCGACGTAGGACGCGGCGTCGCGGCCGCCGGGCACGCGCTCGAAGACGAGGTAGTCCGTGGTCTTCGGGTCGAAGAGGCCCCTGCCCGGCGTCGGGCCCGCGGCGACGCCCGCGTAGCCGGCGACGCCTCCGACGCCCGCGAGCTTCTCGTTGAGGAACTTCTCCGTGGCCCAGTACCGCTTCGAGAGGTCGTCCTTCTTCGCGCGCTTGGCGACGAAGCCGTCGGCGTCGTCGCCGGCTTGCGCGGCGACGACGACGCCGTAGGAGCCCTCGCCGATGAGGCGGGTCTCGTCGACGGCGATGTCGGTCGCGCGCAGCGCGCGCGCGGCGCGGCAGGGGGCGCGCAACGGCACGAGCGCTCGCGCGAGCGACAGCAGGATGAGGAGTTTGCAGGCCATTTTGGGCAGATCTCAAGCAGCAGCCATTGCGAGAGCTCCGAGCTTCAATACGACTGCACTCCAGATGCAAGTTACCGCCTGTCGCGCGCAACCCCTTCGATAGCTCGTCCAAGTTACCGCACGGCCGCCTCGAGCGCGTCGCGGAGGCCCGGCGCCGCGTCGCGCCACCAGGCCGGCGGCGCGCAGGCGACATCGAGGTCGAACGCGTCGACGGCGAGCGCGGCACCGTGGAGCATGATGCCCGGGGTCTCGGGCTTCTTCTCCCGGCGCGGGTCGCCGACGAGCGGGAGGCCGAGCGCCGCGCAGTGGAGGCGGACCTGGTGTTTCCTGCCGGTCCTCGCTCTGCAGTCCAGCAGCACGCGGTCGCCGCCGGCCGCGAGCGCGGCGACCTCCGTCGCCGCGGGCTTGCCCTGGACGTCGTCGTCGACCGCTCGCGCGCCGTCCCACGTCGCGGCGCCTCGGCCGACCGCCAGGTAGGTCTTGCGGACGCGGCGCGCGGCGAACTCGCGGACGAGGAGCGCGTGCGCGGCGCGCGTCTTCGCCAGCACCATCGCGCCCGACGCGTCGCGGTCGAGGCGGTGGACGACGCCCAGCGCGTTCGGCCCGCCGAGGTCGCTCAGCGCGACGCCCGCGGCGAGCGCGACGGCGTCGGGCAGCGTCGCGAACCGCTTCGTCGTGCCCGCGGCCATGGACAGCACGCCGTTGGGCTTCGCGACGGCGATGACCCGGTCGTCCTCGTGGAGCACCTCGAGCGCCGCCGCGGCTCTGTCGAGGACGCCGCGCTTCGGTGGCTTCCGATAGGCCGCGCGGGCCTTGGAGAAGGCCGCGCCCCGCGCGAGCACGGCGTCGGCCTCCGCGCGGCCCTCGTCGAGGCACGCCGACGCGACGAGCGCGTAGGTCACGAGGTCCGGCGCCGCGGGGCCGCCCGCCTCCATGGCCTCGAGGCGCGCCACCGCCGCGCGCGCGTCGACGGCGCCGGACAGGAGGGCGTCGTGGAACTCGACGGCGGCCGCGCGCGGCGACGACGACAGCGCGCGGCCGCCGGCGACGAGCGCGCCGACGCAGAGGAGCCGCATGCGTGGAGACGTCAGCGATCTATCGGACCTGCGCGGCGCGCGGCGTCGCGCGTCGACATGCGGTGTTCACGCGTCGACGTCTTCTCTTGGGCGGTCTCAGCTAAGCCATGTATTTTTGATAATCCGCGGCCGAAGGCCTCATGCATGTCTCAAAACGTGTTTCCTCCTCGACCAAAATATCTCTCGCGGCGCGGCGATGACGCTGGAGTGACGCCATCGATGCTAGCGCTGCGGACACGCAGCGGCTCTGTGCAAAGGCTGGCGTGAGGACTGGTTGCCCAGCGTTTTTGGACCCAAGGCCTGGGACCATCGATCGACCTCGAAAATGCAACCTAACATCAACGTCAACTCCGAAGGTTGGGCAGCCCGCGCGGCGCATGCGCGGCCCCGCCGGGAATGGAGCTGTTTCCAAACCATACAGGACTCGATCATGATGGCTGTCACGATCATGGAGCGCGACGAGGAGGTGGGCTGCCTCGACCGCCTCTGCGACACGCGTCACTACACGGGCAGCCACCTCCATCGCTTCGACGCGGCCGGCAAGGGCCGGGGCGCGGCGGGCCGCGATCGCATCTACAAGGGCCAGGGCACGATCCGCGAGTGGAACCCCCAGCACGAGGGCCAGACGCCGAAACACGTTTTGAAGCTCCGCGCCCGCAAACCCACGACACACGCGCAACCGCCGCCGACGATCCGCGGCGCGCGCGCGGCGTTCGCGCGCTGGGCCGACGACGACGCCGAGATGCACGGCCAGCGCTTCGCGAAGCTCTGCAAGGAGTGCCGCCTCGTCGGCCGCGGCCTCTCGGGCTACGACGTCGACGTGACGTTCAAGAAGGCCGCCAAGGGCGCGCGGGTCCTGGACGCCGCGGGCTTCGCGCGCGCGCTGGACATCATCGGCGAGAAGCGCATGCAGGACACGGATGAGCTCGTCGCGAAGATCCTCGCCCGCGACCGGCCGCCGTCCGCGCCGCGGTCGCGGTAGAGGCTAGCGCGCGCGCGTTTAGCGTCCTAGAGCCGATTCCGCGGGACGGGCTTGGGCTTGGGCTCGCGCTTCATGCCGTTCTCGCGCATGCGCTCGATGTCGCGCTGCTCCGACGCGGAGGCCTTCGTCGCGCGCTCGCTGCTCTGCGACGACGTGATGCCCATCTTCTTCTCGAGCGCCGAGGCGGTGTCCTGGCGATCCTGCGAGAAGGCGCTGCCGGCCGCGTAGCGCTGGCGGAACTCCTTGTCCGACATGTCCTCGGGCACGACCTCGCCGTAGAGGCCGAAGATCTGCGCGCGCTGCTCCGGCGTCACCTTGGCCTGCGCCGGCGCGACGGCGGCGGCGGAGGCGGCGGCCGCCGCGCCGGCGGCGCCAGCGCGCAAGGCCGCGCGCCGCGACGTCAGCGCGAGCGCGTTGGCGGTGCTTGCCAGCAGCACGACGAGCGCTGCGAGAGTCGAATGCATTGCGTTGCGGCGGCGGCGACGGACGGCGGCGGCGGCGCGATTGCACGGGCTGAGTCACAAAAGTGGCTCGGCGATGTTGACAATGTCAATGGGACGTTGTTGCAGCGGCTAAAACCGCTGATATAAGCACCGCGCTTTCGTAGAAAAACCACTCTCTAGCCAATGGACAGACTCCGAAAGTAATTACCACCGCATGGCTGCCCATCTCCTCCCGACAATAACCCGCATGGCCGCCGCCGGTTCGCCCTGCTGCAAAGACTGCGGCGAGACAAGGGCCGGATGCAACGAGTGGGTCGACACGAACTGGGCCGTGTTCCTATGCGTGCGCTGCGCGGGACGGCACCGCTCGTGGTCGAGGACCAAGTCGCTCGAGCTCGACTCGTTTTCCGCCGCGGAGATCGCCGACCTTCGGGGCAAGCTCGCGGCCCGCGACGACGAGGCCTACGACCGGGCCGCCGCGCCGCGCGCCGCGCCCCGGCCGGCCCCGCGCCGCCCGAGGACGGTCACGCCGCCGCCGAGCTCGGGCGCCTCGCTCCTCCGCTCGTCCACCGTTCGCTCGCCGTGCGTGCGCGTCGTCTCCGACGCGTCGTCCAGCGACGACGGCGCGTCGCCGGGCGGCGCGTCGCCTCCGCCGCGGCCGCGGCCGGCGCGGCCCCGCGCGTCGGCGTCCCACTACGCGAACCAGATCAACGTCTGCACGACGAGCACGCTGCAATAACAGAGCATAGTAGGCGATTGCACGCGCGTCCGGCATGTTGACTCTATGTTGCCTTCAGGATTGGCGGCGACCACTCGCCTGGTCGCCTCGGCCAGACAGCTCGCGCGTCGTCACCGCGCCGCCTCGCGCATCGCCGCAGCCGCCTCACTGCAACCGAGTCGCCTCGCGCGCATCACCGCAGCCGCCTCACTGCAGCCGCATCGTTGCCGCGCCGCATCGCCGCAGCCATGGCCGACGCCGGCGACGCCGCGCCGAAGCCGGCGGCGCCGACGCCGGTGTCGGAGAAGATCCTCATCTTCGCCTTCACGTCGTTCCTCGGCTTCGCCGTCGTCGAGATGGTCTTCGCCTTCGCGAGCCACAGCCTGTCCCTGCTCGGCGACTCCATCGCCATGCTCGTCGACTCGGCGACGTACCTCGCCAACGGGCTCGCGCTGCGCCGCGTCCGGGAGCGGGGCGGCGAGGACGGCTACGCGCTCGTCGCGCCCGTGCTGTCGGCCGCCGTGCTCACGGGCGCCATGGTCTACATCGTTATAGACGCGGCCCAGGAGCTCGCGGCGTCCGGCGACGACGACGACGTCGCCGTGACCGTCGTCCTCGCCTTCGGCCTCGCGAACCTGGCGCTCGACGGCGCGAACGTCGCGCTCTTCCTCCGCTACCCGGACGCGTTCCGCGCGGTGCTGGCCTTCGCGGACCCCGAGAGCCTCGAGGCGGACGGCGGCCTGAACATCCGGTCGGCGCTGACGCACGTCCTCGCGGACACGTGGCGGTCCGTGGCCTGCGTCGTCGCCGCGACCGTCGCGCTGACGACGGCCGTGAGCGGCGGCGACGCGGACGCCGTCGGCGCCATCGCCGTCGAGCTGCCGATCCTGGTCATGTGCGTGAACATCGTCCGCGCGGTCCACGCGCGCTACGTGCGGCGGCACCTCCGCGAGGAGGCCGCGCCCCTCGTGCCGCGGCAGCAGGACGGCCTAACGTTCCCCTAGCTAGGAGCGTTCCCCGGGGGCTCGTCCGAGTCAGGGAGGACCGCGAAGGCCCGCACTTTGACAGCACGAAGGCTTTACGATGGGTCCCCCTCAGACCTTGTTGAGGAAGTCGGCGAGCGTGTTGATGACCTCGCGGAAGTGCGCGCCGTTGAACGTGTCGTTGTGGCCCGCGCCGCGGAGCGGCACGAACCTCGAGTTCGGCAGCAGACTCGCGATCTCCTCGCCCTGGGAGTAGGGCACGATCTCGTCGCGCGTGCCGTGGAGGCAGAGCACGGGCGCCTTGACGGAGGGCGCGATGGCCGCGTTGTCGAAGGGGTCCTTGACCAGCAGTTCGGGCGACGGCACGAAGGGGAAGAGGGTCTTGGCCATCTTCGGGATGGACGAGAACGAGCTCAGGAGCACGCACTTGCCCGCGAGGCCCTTGGCCGTCATCTGGAGCGCCACGGAGCCGCCGATGGACTGGCCGAAGGCCACGGTCGTCTCCCAGGGCACCTCGAGCTTGACGTGGAGGTGCTTGAGCATGCGCTCCGCGGCCCAGACGATCGTCTCCTCCGTGGGCTCGCCGCCCCGGCAGAGCGCGTAGCCCGGGTACTCGACGGCGAAGAAGCCCCAGCCCTGGTTCCGCTGGAGCACGTGGCCCAGGTGGTCGCCGACGTTGCCGATCTGGTCCGCGTTGCCGTGCCAGAACGCGAGCACGTGCTTCGACGTCGTCGGCGGGAAGTACGCCGCGACGAGCTGGCCGGGCACGCCCTCCGGCCGCGCCTCGCGCGACACGTCGACGGTCACGAGCTGGCCCTTGCGGATGGGCAGCGGGTTGCTGTTGTCCGGCCGCGGGAAGATGAGGTTGCGCTGGAAGTGGTAGAGCGCGCCGACGAGGCTCGCGAAGACGGCCACGGACAGCGTCGCCAGGCCGCCGGCGGCCTTGAGGAGCGACTGGAGCATCGGCGGCGGCGACCGCGGCGCGTCGAGCGTCGCGTTCGGTGGTGCGTTTAGCGTCGCGCGCGCGGTGCTCGGTCGTGCACGCCGAGTTTCGCGCGCCCAGCCGCCTCCACACGGACAGGATCTCCACAGCGGCGCTCGCCGAATCAGTTTTCAAGCGCAAACAAAGCCGCGAGCCGGGCGCGTCGCAGAGCAGCAGTCTCCTTTGCACCTCGACGGCCCCCCAACGCTGCGCGATGGCCGAGGAATTCGAGCTCAATGCGCTGACCCCGTTGGACGGGCGCTACGCGTCCCGCGTGGCGCCCGTGCGCGCCTATTTCAGCGAGGCCGCTCTGATCAAGTACCGCGTGCGCGTCGAGGTCGAGTACCTCGTGGCGCTGAGCGGCGCCGTGCCGGCGCTCGCGGACGTCTTCGCCGGCGGCAACCTGGCCAAGTGGCGCGGCGTCGCGGCCCAGTTCGGGTCCGCCGACGCCGCGCGGTGCAAGGCCATCGAGCGGACGACGAACCACGACGTCAAGGCGGTCGAGTACTACCTCAAGGAGCGCTGGGACGCGCTGGGCCTGCCGGCCGTGGGCAAGGAGTTCATCCACTTCGGGCTGACGAGCCAGGACGTGAACCACACGGCCCAGCCCCTCATGCTCGCGGAGTGCGCGCGCGACGCCTTGGTGCCGCGGTTCGAGGAGCTCGTCGCCGCGCTCAAGGCGCGGGCCTGGGAGTGGCGCGACCTGTCCATGCTCGCGCGGACCCACGGCCAGTCGGCGTCGCCGACGCGCCTCGGCAAGGAGTTCGCCGTCTTCGCGACGCGCCTCGAGAAGTGCGTCGCCGTCCTCAAGGCCTGCGACCACGGCGCGAAGTTCGGCGGCGCGACGGGCGGCTTCAACGCCCACTGCGTCGCCTTCCCGGGCCGCGACTGGCCCGCCTTCGGCGACGCCTTCGTGAACGACGTCTCCGGCGGCCTGCTCCGGCGGCAGAAGCACACGACGCAGATCGAGCACTACGACGATCTGGCCGCCTTCTGCGCGTTCTCGCGGCGTCCCCTTTTTTACGAGTGGCACACTTGCACACCGTATTGTTCTAGGCCACGCGCTCTGCCGCTGCAACACGGTCGTGCTCGACCTCTGCCGCGACTGCTGGCAGTACGTGTCGCTCGCGTACTTCACGCAGCAGCTCAAGGCCGGCGAGGTCGGCTCGTCGGCCATGCCCCACAAGGTGAACCCCATCGACTTCGAGAACGCCGAGGGCAACCTGGGCATCGCGAGCGCGAATCTGGTTCACCTCGCGGCGAAGCTCCCCGTGTCGCGGCTCCAGCGCGACCTCAGCGACTCGACGGCGCTCCGGGCGCTGGGCGTGCCCCTGGGCCACGCCTACCTCGCCCTCGGCTCCTGCCTCAAGGGCCTGGGCAAGCTCCGCGTCGCCGAGGCGAACCTCTCCGCGGACCTCGACGCGAACTGGGCCGTCGTCGCGGAGGGCATCCAGACGGTCCTCCGCCGCGAGGCCTACCCGAACCCCTACGAGGCCCTCAAGGCCCTCACGCGCACGGGCAAGCCCGCGTCCAAGGACGACATCCGCGCCTTCGTCGACGCGCTCGACGTGCCCGACGCCGTCAAGGCCGAGCTCCGCGCGATCACGCCCCACTCCTACGTCGGCGCCTTCGACGCGTCCGAGTTCGAGCCCACGGCCTGAACCGGCGCGCCGACGCCCCTCGCTAAGCACCCGAGATTAGATGAGATTCGTCGGCATGTTGAACGTCAAGTTGAACAGTTGCGAAGCGCGCAATCTTATGTGAAGGCTATGTGAGCAGCCTGAGGTCTGGACACTTTGCCACAATGCGGGCGCTCGTCGTGCTGCTCGCCGTGAGCTCCTTGACGCGCGCGTGGGTGCCGAGGACGCGCGCGCGGGTGGACGAGGTCGGCGACGCCACGCCGGCCGACGACGCCCGCGTGAAGGAGCTCAAGGCGCAGCTGGCGGAGACCCAGTTCGCCTACCGGCGCCTCCAGGAGAGCGTGCACGAGGACGCGGCGCTGAACCGGCGGCGCGGCGGCGCGCCCGCCGCGCACGGGTCCATCCCGCGCGTCGCATTCGCGGACCTGACGGACGCGCGCTACCTCGAGCACGCGGCGAGCGGCGCGCCGCTCATCGTCGAGCGCCTGCCGTCGACGCTGCGCAACCTCACGCTCGAGCTGTTGGTGCGGCGCTGCGGGTCGCGAGCCGTGACGCTCAAGGAGCGCCAGCCCGACAGCCCGGCGTGGGCCGAGATGGTGCCCGTCGAGGAGGCGACGCTCGACGCGTTCGCGCGGCGGCCCGCGTCGAGCCGCTACCTCCACGACGCGCCGCTGGCGCGGCTCTGCCCCGAGGCCCTCGCGGCCATCGAATTCGCGCCGCCGCGGCTCTTCGGCGGCCGCCAGAACTGGTTCGCGTCGCTGCCCGTCGGGACGCTCCACGGCAACGCGTCCGCGTCGTGGCCGTCGCTCTTCCTCGGCCGGCGGGGCTCGTCCCAGCGTCCTGTGGCCGTGACGATTTTCGAGAGATTTGGGGTGGGAAAGCGATGAGAAATCGTCACCGTCGTGCTTGGTAGGCTCGTCCTCGGGGCTCCACACGGACGTGCTCGAGTCCCACTTCTGGATGTACGTCGTCGAGGGCGCGAAGCGCTGGGCCGTGTCCGTGCGGGGCGACGTGCCCGTGCTCTGCCCGCGGAAGTCCGCGGCGGCGTCGTCCGACCGGTTCCGCGCGTCGCTCCTCGGCGCCGGGACCCACGCGTGCGCCGGCGTCGGGTCCGCGGCGGTCTACTTTGGCATCGTGGAGGCGGGCGAATTCCTCTACATCCCGTCCGGGTCGCCCCACGAGGTGCTGAACGGCGCGGACGACAACGACGACCGGCCGGCGCTCGCCGTGTCGATGAACTACGTCGACGCGGCGAACGCGCGCCACTTCGCGCGGGCCATCCGGCGCTGCCGCCATGCTGGCGCGCTCGGGCTCCTCCTCGGCCGCGACGCCGGCGCCTCGGAGGCGTCCCGCTTCGCCGCCGAGGTCGCGGAGCGGCGCGCCGAGGCCGAATTCCTCGACAAGCTCGACGCCCTCGCCGACAAGTTCGACGAGGACCCCGCCGCCGCGCTCGGGGTCGCTTACGCGTGACTAGTAGCGGTTGCCGCCGGATTGATGCCGGCTCATGTCAAAAATAAGGATCGAACTTCCCGAAAATAACATCCCTTGTATTATCATTTTCCATATAGGGGGATTTCTCGCAGCCCCGACGTCGGGTTGGACGCCCTGATGAAACGCGCGACCTGGGGCTTGGAGAAAAAGACGCGGCGGCTGCCAGGGGCGACCTCGGGGGCGATGAAAACTGTCGTGCCGCGCTCGTTCTTGGCAACATTCCAGTCCGTGACGAGGTCAGGCGTGCCACCCTTCGTGACGAGGTAGTTCGCGAGCTCCGACATCGCGCGCGCCTCATTTTCGTGCTCCGGGTAAAAAGTGCGGGGTCCGAATCGACGTAGCTTGATGATAGGCGGCGGCGGCATCGGAGGCGCCGGCGGGGGCGGTGGAGCCCGAAAGGGCGCCGGTGCAGCCGGCCGACGCGCCGCCGGAGCTGGCTGAAGGATCTGCGGCCTTACCCGAAAGGGCGCCGCCGGAGCCGGAGGACGCGCCGCCGGAGCCGCCGGAGCCCCGCCGCCACCGAAGAAGCCGCGACCCTTCTTGAGCGTCGCCTTCGGGTCGCCAGCGGCGTGGCGGCGGAAGAGCGTGGAAACGTACGCGAGCGTTTTGGACGTCGCCTGTGCCCTGGGTGAACGTTGGGGGAACCTCTCTGCCTGGGTCTCCCGGGTCGATGATGATCCGTCCTCGTCGCCGCTTTTCGCGGCGCGGCTCCGCTTCCGCTCGGGCTCCTCGTCGTCCGGCGTGCCCAGGATTGATCGCTTGCCAAAGGGATCATTCATCAAGTCCAGACACACCACGCTGAAAGGATCGAAAAAATAGCCGTGGGGCGTCGTGGCGACCGACGCACGGCGACACGCGAGGCCCTCGAGCTCGCGTCGGATCTCCGCCTCCATTGTGTGATCGGAGTCGACGCTCGAGTTTGCAAATGTTACCCAAGCGGCGGACTCTCCTCGCTTCTCGTGGCCGTGGTTGTCGAGTTTGCGGAGTTTGCGGAGTGCAAGGTCACTTACGTCGTGCGTTTATGCGCGTGTGGGCTTATGGCGCCGGGGGTGTGATGGGAGTGAGGTGCTTCGGCGGATGGCCTCGGAAGAGCAAGCCCGCGGCCCCGGGCCTCCATTCGCGTTTGAGCTTTTTCCAGCATTTCTTGTGGTAGCACCGCGTTGGCCAGTCGGCGTGCGCCTTGCCGTTCTTGCGCGCGGAGCCAGCAGGCTGGAGCGGCCTTCTGCACATGTGACATGGGCCCCGCGGCCGCGGAGCCTGGGCCTGCCAGTGCCACTGGCAGTGGGGCCAGGGAATCGGACTCACCGGATCCGCCGGCGACCACGGATGCCGGTGCCAGTGCCAGTACCAGTGCCACGGCGCGGTGCAGTGCGCGCCGGCGGGCTGGGGATAGAGCAGGACGGTGTTTGGGGCAGTCGACATTCAAGGGTGTTTTTGTGACGGTCACTCGGATCTTTTGTCTTAGCGTTAAAATGCTGGGACCTGGAGAAGGATGTGATTCTGCTTCGGCTCTCGAGCTGCAAGCTTGCACGCGTTCTCTCGTGGCGAGTGGCGCGTGCGCACGCGTTCGCGCAGACACGTGCTGTTGGAACGCCTGCGAGCGCTGCGGAACGATTGCCGAAACTACGTGCGCGCGAAATCGTGCGCGCGAAATCGCGCGCGCTGAACCCACCCTTTCAGAGTATCGACGATTTTAACGTTAAATTCGTCCATCCTGTGTACGAGCGTGATCGGATGAGTGCTCGAGGGGCTCGGCCACGAGACGCACGCCGCCCGTGTCGCGGCCGCCTCGCGCCGCAGTCGTCGACGTCGAACGACGGTCGCCGCCCGCGTCGCACTCGCGCCGGCGCGCGCACCGCACCGGCGCCCAGGCGGACTGCTACAACCTCACCGCGCGGCCGGCGACGGCCTGCGCGTCGCCGTCGTCCGCGGCGTCGCCGCCGCGCTCAAGCACGACAGCTACGCGGCGACGACTCGCCACCGCGTGCCGCGCCAGTGCCAGCTCGCGCGCTACGACGCGGGAGCCAAGGGCGACTACCGCCACCTCGACCACTGGGCGCTCAACGTCGCGGAGCTGGGGCGGCCGATGGTCGGCTTGGGCGGCGGCGCGCGCGGCGGTCCTGGAGCTCCGCGCCGCGGTGGGGGCGGCTGAGTCGAACGATCCATGGAGCCGCGCTGCTCGGACGGCCGCCTGACTAGGTTAGGTGGGTGCGTTGTGGAGTTTCGGGAGTGGAGTGCAGGTTGGGAGCGCGCGCGCGCGAGTTCCTTCCCCTCCACACTCACCTCAGTTACTCAGTTATCATTTGCTCAGGTTTCGCCACAGCGACGGATTCGTGCTTCGCACAAGCTCGGGCGGCCCAACCCGACACCTCCAAGTAGGTCGCCATAGTCCTCCTCAATGAGCGTCGCCCCCAGTACTCCAATCCCACTACGCGAAGGTGCGCGTTACTCCCCGCGGTCCGCGTGAGCGACCGGCGCGCGCCGCCTCGATCAGCGGCCGGCCCGCGCAGCGCCGATCATCATGCTGCCGAGGCGTCCTTGCGCTCGTTGTTGAGCTTCTTCGCTCGCCCAGATGGCGCAGAGCGCGAAGTCGCGAAACTGCTCGTGGTCGCCGAAGTCGTCGCGCATCTCGAAGTCCTCGTTCATTATGTTACTAGTAGCGGTTGCCGCCGGCGACGTGGAGGGAGTCCGTCGACGCGGCCCGGCCCTCCGGCGTCTTGCCGAGGGACGCTTCCGAGTTGCGCCGCGCGCAGGCGAGGAGCGCGGCCTGGGCGGCGGCCTCGTTGGCGCTTTTGCCCTCCCAGGCGACGCGGAAGCAGTGCTGGAGCGCGCGGCCATAGGAGAACGTGAGAGGGTAGGGACACAATTTCCGGTTCGGATCGCGGTTGATCGCCGCGAGCGCGTTCGTCGCGAAGGCCTCGGACATGCCGCCGCTGAGGAAGACGACGCCGGGCAGCGACGACGGCAGCGCGTCGGCGAAGACTTGGACGGTCGCCGAGGCCACGAGGTCGCAGCGCTCGGCGCACGCGTGGCCGGGGCCGCAGCGCACCATGTTCGTCTTCAGCAGCGAGCCGCGCACGTCGACGCCCCGCGCGTCCATGGCGGCGAACGTGCGCACCAGGGCCCGCTTCGTGGCGCAGGCGGCCGCCGCGACGCCGTGGTCTCCTTCGATGACGACGTCCGGTTCGACGATGGGCACGAGCCCCTCGTCCTGGCAGACGCGCGCGTAGCACGCGAGCGCGTCGGCCTCGGCGTTGACCGCGGCCTCGGAGCCGTCGATCTTCAGCGGCGCGCGCCACTTGGCGAAGCGGAGCCCCAGCGCGCGGTACGCGGCGCAGCGCTCGCGCAGGCCGTCGAGGCCCGCGGTCCGCCAGTCGCCGCAGGTCGAGCCCGGCATGTCGGAGAAGCCCTGGTCGAGCTTGACGCCCGGTATGATGCCCATGGACTCGAGCAGCTGCGGGACCTTGTCGGGACATCCCTTCCTCGCCATCGTTTGAGAGCACGTCTCTTCGTGGAGGATGATACCCGAGACGTAGGCGCCGAGGCCCTCGGTCGTGAACATCAATTCGCGGTACTTGATGCGCCAGGCCTCCGTGCACTCCTTCGGGTCCGACCAGCACATCTTCATGCGCCCGGGCAGCACGTGCGGCGGCTCGTCGCAGGCGAGCAATCCCTTGCCGGGCGCTATGAGCAGCCGTGCGGTCTGCCGGAGCTCATCGCGGTACTTTGAGGGGCCGAGGAACGCGTTCAGCTCCTCGCGTTGTTGCTCCTCGGGGGCAGACAGCTCCTCGCGCTGCTGCTCCTCGGGGGCAGACATGGCGGCCATGGAAGTTCTGTAAATCAACAAGCTTCACTTTTCATGTCCTTGAAGATTTATATGGGCAGCCTCTCTGAGCACAATATGCTGCCTAGACCGCAATGAGATGAGCGCGGCGCGTAAGGGCGCCCTCGCGTGCGTCGTCGCGGCCGCTGCGAACGGCGCCATCGTGCCGGAGTGCAAGAACGCGCTGGACGAGCGCCTGAGCGGCCTCGGGCAGATCGTGGACGGCGACACGGTCATCGACTGCCAGACACTTAGCAGCCGGGGCCTCTGCCGCTTCGCGGGGCACCTCTGCGACGCGGCCTGCGACCGCTGCGGCGTGCCCGCGCACGTGCGCGGCGGCCTCACGTTCGTCCGCGAGGACGGAGCGGAGGAGCCGCTCGAGCTCCTCTGGTACGTCGACGAAACCATCGCGGCCGCGGCCGCGCGGCTCTGCGTGCTCATCGACTCCTGGGGCATCCGGGACGCGGCGCCGGGCTTCGCGGCGCTCTTCGACCAGCCCTGGGGAACCGCGGAGCGGCGCGAGCTGGCGGCGCGGCAGCCCGCGTCCTGGGACGACCTGCGGGCGCGCTCCGACCTCGGCCTGCCGGTCCGCCTGAACGTCGGCGGCCACGAGGACTGCCATCCGAAGGCGAACTTCTGGGAGTTCGCCTGCGTGGGTTTGGAGCGGCGTCGCGGAATTCTCGTCGGGGAAAAGATGAAGCGTCGCGCGCGGTAGGTTTCGACGAGCTGCGGCAGCTCGAGGGCAAGGCGGACCAGCCCGACGGCGGGCCGGCCTACGCAGCGCCCTGGCACGTGGAGCACGACCTCACGACGCCGCTCGGGCTCCCCGCGGCGAAAGTCGACGAGATTCTGTGCGAGCACGTGCTCGAGCACCTGCCGTCGGACGCGTGGCCCACGCTCCTCGCGGACTTCCATCGCGTGCTGCGGCCGGGCGGCGTCCTGAGGCTCGCGGTGCCCGACTACGGCGCGCCCGGCGAGCCCGCGGGCGCGGACCCGGCGCAGCCCGAGCACCTCGTCCTGCCGACGGCGGCCTCGCTGCGCGCGGCGCTCGACGCGTCCCCGTTCCGGGGCGCCTACCACCTGCGCCAGTTTTGGGAAAACGGGACCTTCGTCGACGAGGCGGTCCGGCCGCACTTCCGCGCCGCGACGGGCGTCGTGAAGCGGTGCCCACAGCGCGCGGCGTACTTCGTGCTCAACGGCGTCGGCGCGCGCTACGCCCGGCGCGACGCGGCGACGGGCGCCCCGCTCGCGAGCTCCCTGGTCGTGGATGTGTATAAGGCGTACTAGTTGGGGGCGGCGACGTCGCGGGTGATGCGCGCCGCGGCCGACCCCCACGCCTTGTGGCAAATCTGATCGATCTCGAGCTCAGACGTGCACAGACGGCAGCTCGGCGTCGCACGACGGCGCCGAGGCCGCGTACCGCATCGCCGCGGAGAACGCCTCCGTGTTGCGCGCCTCGCCGACGTAGTCGACCTCGTTGACGAAGCCGCGGCCCCACTCGTCGACGAGGGGAGCACGCGGCCGCGGCGCGACGATGGCCGGCCTCTACGCGGCGGCGAGCCGCCGCCTGTCGGAGACCTGGGAGTCGCGCCTCGAGGGCCACTTCTCCGACGACGGGACGGACACGGTCGCCGCCCAGATCGACCTCTGGCTCACGCTGCTCGCCGCCGTCGCCTGCGTCGAGACGTTGGGCGTCTGCGTGCTGGCGACGTACCGCTACAGCGGCAAGCTCTACCACCTGCCGCTCCAGCGCTGGACGATCCGCCTCATCTTGATCGGGCCCGTGTTCTCCATCCTCATGTGGGCGTCGCTGTGGACGCCGGACTACGACTACTACATCGCGATCCCCGTGGGCTTCTACGAGGCCTACGCGTTCTTCTGCTTCTACGCCATGCTCGTGGCCTTCGCGGGCGGCGAGGACCGCGTCGTGACGGCGCTGAGCGCGCTGCCGGGGCCGCCGACGGCGTACGTGTACCACCCGTTCGGCGTCGACTGCACGGTCGGCGAGTGCGGCCTCACGCTGGGCACCTACACGCCCCTCTTCGGCGGGCGCGTCCACTACAGCCACGCCGTGCGCTTCGCGTCGGCGGACGGGCTGCTGCGGTTTTTGAAGCGGGGCGTCGCGCAGGCCATGGTCGCGAAGCCGCTGAACCTGCTCCTGATGATCTTCCTGAACGCGCGGGGCCAGGTGGCTTTATGCAACTACAGCCGCGTCATCTCCATCGTGTCCTTCTGGTTCGTGGCGAACTCGCTGACGCAGCTCTACCACGTGACGCTGCCGCGGATCCGGGGCATGGGCGGCGAGAAGCTCTTCGTGCTCCTGCTCCTCATGATCTCCGTGATCACGATCCAGGACATCGTCGTGTCCGTGCTGCTCGTCACCAGCGACACGTCGTCGGCGACGTCGGACCTGCCGACGCGCCTCATCTTCATCATCACGATCCTCGAGTTCACGGCGTTCTCGACGATCTTCTACCGGCTGCTCCCGCCGGAGAAGTTCGCGGCCATCGCCTGGCGCGAGTCGTCGAACGACCTCGCGGCGCTGAGCCGGCCGCGGCCCCACCGGCTGCCCATCTTCGACTTCTGGCTCGATATCCTCAACCCGCGGACCATGTTCGCCGTCGCGAAGCGCCGCGAGGACCCCGCGCCCTACAAGGTCCAGATCACGCACGTCTTCGGCGCCAAGGAGGAGAAGGCCGACGAGGACGAGCGCACGGCCCTCGTGCGAAATTAACGCGTCGTTAGTCGTCGAAGAAGTCCGCGGCCGCGCGGCCGCGCTTCTTCGCGGACGGCGGCGGCGGCGCGTCGGGCTCGGCGCCGCCGGCGGCCTTGACGAAGGCCTGGATGCCGACGGGCGGCGGCGGCGGCGGCGGCGGCGGCAGCGTGGGCTCGCGGAGCCGCCGCGTGGGCCCGTCCGCGGCGGGCTCGACGTAGGGCGCGGGCGCGTCGCCCATCTTCGGCGGCGGCGCGCCGACGTACCGGGCCCGCTTCGGCGACGGCGGCCGCCGCGGCGACGGCGGCTCCGACGGCCCGCGGCCGACGCTGGGCTCGCGGGACGCGGACCGGTCCCAGCGGCTCGCGGACGGCCCCCGCGGCTCGCTCGGCCCGCGGCTCGGCGGCGCCGCGGGCGGCGGCCGCGACCCCTGGGGCCAGAGCTCGGCCTCGAGCGCGCGGCCGTCGAAGTTGCGGCCGTGCATGGCGACGCAGCAGCGCCGCGCGGCTTCCACCGTCGTGAACGACACGAGCATCGACCCCGCGTCGCCGCCCGCGACGAGGCACTCGGCGTCGATGACGCGGCCGTGCTTCGTGCACTCGTAGCCGACCTCGTCCTCGAGCTGCGTGTCGCGGGCCGTCAGCTTCGTCGCGTCGAAGCAGTTCTTGAGGAGCGCCTTGGGACAATCCGGCGGCGCGGCCACGGGCCCGCGGCTCCTGGGCGCCGCGGGCGCGGGCGCGGGCATGGGCGGCGGCTGGGGGATGACGGGCCGCCGCGGCTCCTTGAAGACCGCCTCCTGGACGGCGATGACGTAGGAGCCGAGGCCGCCCTGGTCGATCTCCTTGCCGTCGAGCTCCTCGACGGCGTCGCCCGCGACGTCGCGGTTCAGCTTCGCGTCGAAGACGACGAGCGCGTCGCCCTTGGGGATGCCGCCGGCGTCGCGGTAGACCTTGATCTTCTTGATCTTGCCCACGCCCTTGCAGATGTCCTCGAGCTGGATGTTGCCCACCGTCGCGGGCAATCCGCTGATGTAGATCGCCGCCGTGGGCGGCGCGCTCATTGTGGTACGGAGCTCGCGCTGCCGATCGCGCCGGTTCCCGGCGCTCGACGCTGGGTGGAGGCGAAGCCAAAGACGGCTGCCGAGGCGAGTCGCTGATGCCGCGGGTTTTTGCCGCAGTGAAAACCTCATCGACGTCGACGACGCCGAAGCGCCTCTGCGACGACCACACAAAAGTCGCCTTTCGACGCTGCCGCCGGGCACAATACGACCATGTGCGAGCGCATCATGCGCGTCAAAACAAAGGCCGGCGCCGCCTGCCGCATGGAGGCGGCGCTCGACTCCCCCATCGTCGCCCAGCTCGACAAGGGCACGGTCGTGCGCGCGCTCGACGAGATGGACGTCGCGGGCCTGCGGCGCGTGCGCATCGTGGCGCCCTGCGCCGGCTGGGTGACGTCCAAGTGCCTCGCGCCCGCGCCCGAGGCGAGCGCGCCCCTCGCGGCCGCGCCCGACGCGCGCGCGGCGGCGCCGCCGGCCGCGGCGGCGCCGCGCGCGGCGCGCGCGCGCGCGGCGGCGGCGCCGGCCGCGCCGGCCGCGCCGCCCGAGGCGCCGTCGGCCATGGCCGCGGCCCTCGAGCGCGAGGCGGCGGCGCACGCCAACGTCTGGGGCCACGGGGGCAGCGTGCACGAGAAGAAGCGGCGCGCGGCGGGCGTCGCGCTCGCGCGGCCGCGCGTGCCCCGCGCGGCCGACGACCGGGGCGCGCGCTTCGACGAGCGGAGCGACGAGGCGACGGCCGAGCTCCTGGAGTGGATGCTCAAGAAGTCGTCCCTGGGCGAGGACATGCTGCTCCTGGGCGACCCGGGCCCGCGGAGCCGCCAGCTCGTGCACCGCTGGTGCGAGGCCTGCAACCGCGAGGTCGAGTACGTCGCCGTGACGCGGGACACCTGCGGCAGCGATTTGAAACAACGGCGCGAGCTCAGCGGGCGGAGCAGCGGCTGGGCCGACGCGCCGCCGGTGTCCGCCGCGAAGCGCGGCCGCGTGCTCGTGCTCGAGGGCCTCGAGCGCGCGGAGCGCAACGTGCTGCCGCTGCTCAATAACCTCCTGGAGAACCGGGAGATGGCGCTCGACGACGGCACGTTCCTCGCGAGCGCGAAGCGCTACGACGCGCTCGCGCGCGAGGTCGACCTCAGCAAATTGGCGCGCGTCCACGAGAACTTCATCGTCGTCGCGATCGCGGCGCCGACGCCGCGCTACGCCGGGCGGCCCCTCGACCCGCCCCTGCGGAGCCGCTTCGCCTGCCGCAACGTGCCGCGGCCCGCGCCGTCGTCGCGCCGCGCGGAGGCGACGCGCCTCGCGCGCGGGGGCCTCGCGCCCTTCGAGGTCGACGCGCTGCTCCAGTGCGCCGCCGTGCTCGCCCAGGAGGATCTGGACGCGGAGCGCGTCGCCCTGGACCTGCGGCCCGACGAGGCGCTCATGGGCGGCAAGGACGACGACACCGCGCCGCCGCCGACGAAGGACGCGGCCGACGCGGCCGTCCGCGAGCTCAAGGAGACCGGCGAGAAGCGGCGCGAGAAGAAGCGGCCGGCGACGCGGGCGCTGCGCGAGATGGCGCCCAAGTGCGGCGACGGCCTGGCCTACGGCGTCTGCAAGGTCGCGGCCCTATCGTTCCGCTTCGACGCGCGCGACGCGGTCCGCCGCGCGTACCCCTACGACGCCCTGCTCCGGAGCCGCTGCGGCGCGACGGCGCGGCGGCTGGCGGATAGTGCCCTGCGCCACTTCTTCGACGTCTTCGACGCGTCGTCCAAGTCCGCGCTCTGGGACGACGACGGGGGGCCCCGCTTCACGGGCTGCCGCGCGTCGCGGGGCAAGCACGACGGCTTCGACGACCCGCTGCTCGTCGACGGCCCGCCGCCGGGGCCCGTCTTCGAGGCCATGGCGCGCGAGGGCCGGCGCCTCGTGGCGTCCTTCGCCGCCGGCGACGAGAAGGCGCCCGTGCTCTGCCACGGCTGGGGCGGCCAGCGCGCGCCGCGCGAGTTCGCGGCGAAGAAGCCGACGCGCCGGTGGTTCGACGCCTCCGCGCCGACGCTCGCCGCGAGCCGGCGCGACGCGCTGAGCGCCATGGTCGCGGACCACTGCGCGGGGCTCGACCTCTTCGTCTGCGGCACGCGCGGCGGCGGCAAGTCGGCGCTCGCGCGGGCCTTCGCGGACGCGTGCGGCTACGACTGCCGCGTCGTCTTCTGCCACGCGGACCTGACGGCGCGGGACCTGCTCCAGCGCCGCGACGTCGACGAGCACGGCGCGACGCGCTGGATCGACGCGGCCGCTATTTCGGCGGCCGTCGACGGCGAGTGCCTCGTCCTCGACGGCGTCGACCGCCTGGCGCCGGGCGTCCTCGTCGCCGCGCTGGGCCCGCTCCTCTGCGACCGCGCGACGCCCCTGCCCGACGGCACGCGCCTCGTGGACGCGCGCAAGTACGAGGCCGCGCGCGCGTACGACCTCGCGGGCACGCGGCTCTGCCACCCGGCGTTCCGCTGCGTGCTGCTGGCGACGACGTCGGAGCCCATGAGCGGCGACGACGACGCCGACGGCAAGCACAACGCCTGGCTGTCGCCGGAGGTGCTCGCGCTGCCCGTCCACTTCCACGCGCTGCCCGAGCTGAGTCGGGAGGAGCGCGCCAAGGTCCTGCTCGCGGCCGCGACGGAGGGCCTGGGCGAGGCGTCCGAGGCCGACGCCGCCGCCGCGTCGGACCGCGCGGTCCAGCGGCGCCGCGCGGCGGAGAAGCGGGCGCGCGTCGAGGTGCTGCTGCCGCGGTGCCGCGCGGCGCTGCGCTTCGGCGACGCCGCGAAGGCCGCGGCCCGCGCGGAGCCCGCGCTCAAGGCCATGGACGTGAGCTCGGCGCGGGCGCTCCGCCGCGTCGGCGCCCAGCTGCGCCACGCGCCCACGGACCTCGACGGCGCCCTCGCGGCGACGTGCGGCGCGCGCGCGCGGTTCCTGCCGCCGCCGACGCGCGACAGCCTCGAGTTCCTCCTGGCCCGGGCGAAGCGCGCCGAGGGTCTGGAGGCGCTGGATGTGGACGCGCTCCGGCGCGAGTGCGGCCCCTTCGGGGGCGCGCCCGCGGGCGAGAAGCACGAGAAGGTCCTCGCGGACAAGGGCGAGCACGTCGTCGTCGTCGACGGCGACAGCGACATCGACGAGGACGACGCGGTCCAGGCGAGGCGGGACCGCGAGGCCGACGAGGCCATCGCCGGTTTGTTGGCCCGGAGCCGCCAGGGCGAGGCGCGCGCCGCGGCCCTGCGGCGCAAGTGGAGGAAGAAGCCGCGGCGCGGCGGCGACTTGGACGACGGGTCCGAGGCCGTCGACGTCAAGGTCGTCCGGTCCGGCGACAAGACCTTCCTCGAGGCCGGCGACGCGCGGTGCGCCGTGTCGACGCCCCAGCGGCCCGAGCTCGTGCCGTGCTGCGCGAACTTCGTGGCCATCCCGAAGCACACGGCGCTCCTCCGCGACGTGCTCCGCGACTGGGTCCGGGGCGACGACGTGCTCCTCATCGGCAACCAGGGCGTCGGCAAGAACGTCGTCACGGACCGCCTGCTCGAACTGCTGCGCTACGAGCGCGAGTACGTCCAGCTCCACCGCGACACGACGCTGAGCTCGCTGACGACGACGCCCGCGCTCGTCGACGGCACCTTGGTATGGGAGGACTCGGCGCTCGTCCGCGCGGCCAAGTACGGCCGCTGCCTGGTCGTCGACGAGGCGGACAAGGCGCCGCTGGAGGTGGTTTGTGTGTTAAAGGCGCTGCTGGAGGACGGCGAGCTCACGATGAGCGACGGCCGGAGAATAGTGGCGAGGCGGTCCGGCGCGCCCCGGCGACCCGGCGACGTCGTCGCGCACGCGGGCTTCCGCGTCATCGTGCTCGCGAACCGGCCGGGCTGGCCCTTCCTGGGCAACGACTTCTACCGCGAGTGCGGCGACGTGCTCCGGGCCCACGTCGTCGAGAACCCGGACTTCCGGTCCGAGGTGTTGCTGTTGCGGGAGCTCGCGCCGTCCGCGGACCGCGACGCCATCGACCGCCTCGTGGGCGCCTTTGGGGAGCTGCGGGACCTCGCGGACGCGGGCGTGCTCGCCTACCCCTACAGCACGCGCGAGCTCTGCCGCATCGCGCGCCACATGGACGCGTTCGCCGGTGACGCGTGCGCCGAGGCGCTCGAGGACGTGCTCGCCTTCGACGCGCACGACGCGGCGACGCGCGACGCGCTGCGGGCCATCCTGGCGAAGCACGGCCTCGACGGGCGCGACGGCGACCTCCAGGTCGACGACGACGCCAACGACGAGCTGCTGAAGAAGCCGCGCTACGACATCCGCGGCGACGACGAGGACGGCGCTGTGCTCGATGACCCGGACCGCGTGAACCCGGACGAGGAGCTGAAACCGCCGGAGCACGCGAACCCGGGGGGCGAGGGCGGCGCCGAGGGCGAGCGGCTCGAGGCGGCGGAGAACGCGGACCGCACGGAGACGCGGCGCGACGACGGCGCGGACGAGGAAGGGGCCGCGGACCCGGACGGCGAGGCGCCCGAGGACGGCGCGCCGACGGTGCCCGGCGAGGACCGGGGCTTCGGCGAGGGGTCCAAGGGCGAGGGCGGCGCGGAGGCGACGGAGGGCGCGGAGGCGACGGAGGGCGCCGGCGCGGAGCGCGGCGAGGGCGACGCGGCCGACGCCGACGCGCCCGGCGCGGACCCGTCCCTGCCGGAGCGCGCCGCGGACGCCGGCGGCGACGCGCCCGGCGGCGGCGACGGCGTCGACGGCCCCGGCGGCGGCGACGACGACGGCGGCGCGCCGTCGGAGGCCGGGCCGCGCGAGGGCGACGGCGAATTGGAGGCGCGGTTCATGGAGTCGATGCTCAAAGACGCGCTCACGGGCCTGAGCGACGACGAGGGCGACGGCGGCGAGGCGCCGTCGCCGACGCCGGAGAAGGCGGGCACGGCGCCGCCCGAGGACGGCGACGACGCGCGGCCCGAGAACCGGCGGTCGAAGGGCGCGAAGGGCCCGCCGGATCCGTCCAAGGCGCCGCAGCGCGGCGACGGCCAGCGGGCCCACCCGCGGAGCGACAAGCACCGCGCCCTGCGCGACAAGCCGACGCCGAGCGAGCTCGACGAGGCCCGCGTGCTGGCGGCGCTCGTGGAGAAGTCGTCGACGCTCCGGGACCTCGCCGAGGCCGGCGAGCGGCTCGCGGCCGCGGCCGGCGAGGGCGACTTCGAGCTCGGCGTCGACGACGCGGGCGGCGGCGACGCGCTGCCCGGCGAGGACGACGTCGCCCGGCGCCGCGGCCGCGGCGGGCCCGACGAGGTGTCGCCGGACGAGTACGGCGCGCTGCGCTCGGCCGTCGCCGCGGACGTGCCGCGCGTCCGCCGCGCGCTCCTGGACCGGCTCCAGGGCGCGCGGCGCGACGCCCGCGTCTGGCACAAGCACCAGACCGTGGGCGAGCTCGACGACGACCGCCTCGTCGACGCCCTCGCGGGCGACGCGAACGTCTACCGGCGCCGCGCGTACGACGACGCCGCCGCCGACGACGACGGCGAGGGCGACGTCAACGACCAGGCCGGCGACGAGCAGGACGACGAGGAGCGCACAAACGCCGGGGACGACGACTGGCTCAAGCGGCCCCGGTCGGGCCCGCGGCGGCCCCGGCTCCGGGTCAAGGTCTGCGTCGACTTAGGGTCGTCGACGTACGCCAAGGACGGCAAGGACGGGCGGCTCGCGCGGCTCCTCAAGGTCGTCGTGACGCTGCTGGAGGCCTTCGACGGCATCCCGCCGTCCCTGGGCGTCGAGTGGGCGCTGAGCGCCTTCTCCGGCGCGGGGCCCGAGCTCGCGCTGAAGAAGTGGAAGGCAGGGCAGCAAAAGGGTGCGAAATTCCCAACTTCAAAGGCTCATATCTCGGCCGCTTTCCACTCGTTTTGGCTGATTTTTGGACGAGCGATCATCTCTCGGAACAGTCTCGAAGCGTTGATGCTTTTTTGGGAACGCGTGCGCGCGGAACACTCACGTTGAAGCGACGTTGAATCACCCTTTTGCTGCCCAGGTGGAAGGACCGGAAGCTCGACGCGCCGCACGGGTCGGGGTCGCCGCGGCTCCCGGAGCCGCGCCTGAATCTCGTGCGGCGCATGGCCTCGCACGCCCAGTACTGCCGCGACGGCGACGCGACGCTCAGCGCGGCGGCGGCCGCGCTCCGGAAGATCCGCAACGTCGCCGCGGACGCGTACCTCGTCGTGCTGTGCTTGTGCCTCGACGACTTCGCGGCGCACGACGACGACTTCCGCGCGCGGGCGTTGGCGGAGGTGCTCGAGTCGGAGAACCACGCCAACGTCGAGCGCGTCGCCCTGCTCGTGGCGGACGGCAACGGCGTGAAAGGGTCCGCGGCCGCGCTCGCGGCGAACCGGTTCCCGCCGGGCGCCGCGGTCGTCGCGACGAGCGACGCGGACCTCGGGCCCGCGCTCGAGCGCGTGCTCCGCGACAAGGTCGAGGGGTAGATGAGGGGCGCGAATTTTTAACTTTACGCGTGAGACGGTGCGCGGGTGCTGTTAATGACACACCCCGGGCCAAAGCCTTGGCCAAAATTGGCGGACGCGTCAAGTCGAGCACCCAGAGCGCCGGAGGCCGCGATCCCCACCCCGTCCGGTACGTACGCTTCCCGAGGACGCTCCCCGACCTATACCCGACGCCCCCTTAAAGGGGCACGCCTTCTCGCCTTCTCGAGGCCCCCCTCGTCGCGCCCGACGAGAAACATCGATTTCTCCGCGACTCGGTGTTAAAACCGCCGGCCCGGTTCCCCGGGCGCCCAAAACCCCCCTGATCGCCCCCCGCCCCTCCCTCCGATCCCCCACCGGAGGCCCTCGGAGCCCCCGCCCCCCGGTGGCACCCCGCGCCCCCGATGACGACCTCGATCGGCCGAAATCCGACCCCCGACCCTTTCTTAGGCTCGCCCCCCCACGACCACGCCCCCCATGAAGCTCGCCGTCGTCC